TAACAGCATAACTGTTATAATTAAAACTCTTGCTTAAATTGTCCTCATAATTTCAACAGACAATAAGATACTGAGAAAAGAGTTAAAAGCTTGAAAAATACTATTATATCAGTTGGGTTAATCAGGCTTATATCTCATGAATTAGGTCTTAATAGTTCATTCATACAAAATTACTTACGTGTGTGTCTTTATCTCAGCTACTACGATGACTGTATATCAGCTTAGTGAGTTGTTATCATGTATAAGTTCAGTAAAAGAGAAAACACCATGTAAAGTTAGTGGAAAGAATCTGTCTCCTCGTGACAATCTAGCTTGCACGTGTAAAACCTTCAGTACTCATGTGACTGCATGATTATAACAACTATTTATGCAAGAGTGATTATAGATAGGCTCTTTCATGCCAAGGTTATGACATACCTGGACTTCTTTATAACAAGACAGTGAACAATATCACCTTTGTTTATATGACGACAAATATCGATTCTAGACCGACCATCTGTGACTTGTATCTGTGTGTTATTGTGGATATATCAGCCAGAGAAGGAAGGGAGAAACCCGATTAAACTGTTAGTGCAATATTTGTTGACGTCATAAGTTAATGGATATAGATTATTCTAAATATATTGACTATAAAAAGAAAAACAACTTGAATAAAAAAAAAACTTAAAAAAAATAAAAAAAACAAAAAATATACCAAAAATAAAACAAAAATCAGTAGAATGCAGAAAAAAAAAATGGAGTTAAAAGTAGTTCCACTATCAACAAGGTAGGGCAAAGGGATGTAAAACAGTTTTTACCTTTTATTAGTCAGGTTTTGTTATGAGTTTTCATATAAAATTTAATTTTAAAAATCATTCATCTTATTCAGTTAGTACATTTTGTGCTACTGTGGTCAACACTCACCTTCATTACACAAGTGTGGTTCATGGTGACATTCAAAGCAGAAGAGTACAATGGCTTGCCAGTTCCTTTTGCATCTGGTATCTTGAGCTTAAGCCACCCCTTCTCTTAGAGGTGGATTTGTTTTTGAAGTTACCTTCTTAAAAAAAGACAGGACCTACAAGGCAGCAGGTAGCTTAAATTCAATTTCCTTCTCCTAGACTGGTTGCCACCCAAGGCTATAGGACCCAGTCTGTCCTGCTATTTTACCCATAGCTGGGGGGGTGAGAGCAGATAGATTCATACCTTTCCCAAGGTATTAGCAGGTAAGTGAATGTAATGCTCTTACCTGGAATTTAGACTCAGGTCTCCGATTCCTCAATCCAAGCCACTAAACATTACACAACCGTGTCTCCATTTTAAAAATTGTATTTCTTAAAAATTGCCTTTTTATAAAAATGACACATGCTGTTTGTGGGCATGGTGAAACAGACATATATCTGCCCCTGTTAGTTGAATAAAGGGTTTGATTCAAAATTTCAAGTTTGCTATGTATGACATCAATCACCTGAAGAAGGTCAGAGAGTACAACAATTGAAACATTGTATTATAATCAAGATCTCCATCTTTTTTATGTGGCATGTCCATCTCAGGATGTAGGTAATCATGGCTCTCTACAACTTTTTGTCCCTTGTAGCTCTTAAACTTTGTTTTTTCTGTTATTTCTCCTAAACCCTGTTCCACCATCCATTTACTCAAGCTCTCTAAGTATGTTAGGAATTTTTTTTTCCTTTGTCCCTATTGCCTTCAATCTGTCCTGTGCTCTAGGAATCTCAATTGTTTCTTCCTAATGTTAAGTATAAGATTCCTTTTTGTTTCCATGCTGGTCATATAAAACACACACCAACTCCAGGTTGTCTGCTGAAGAATAAGAGTTAGTAAACTTGTCTGCAATCTCCATCAGGTGACCTCCCCAACCCATTAGAACCATGTGCTAGATTAAACTGCCATAACATAGCTTCCCTACACGTTTTCTATAAATATTTTCATGGTAAACAGCTTCTTTTATCACACTTCTCATTTGTGGAACTCTTCCAGCTTCTTGCTTTCCAGTCACGTTCGATCTTCAAAGATGCAAAATGTCAATTATTATCTTCTGTCTTAGTTATTTTTGCTCATATTTTATCACACTTAGTAACCCCTTGCATCTTAATGGCTTTCTTGCTTTGTTTGGGATGAAATGATTATATAAAATATGAAATAATGAGAAAGGGAGAGAAAGATATGGGTATATAAACAATGTGTATTTAGGTAGCAGTTCTTCATTAATATTAAAAAAAAAAAAAAAAAAAAATACTTATCTTACTTCAGATAAAATAAAAATGTGGAAATATGGTAATGGATTGAAAAATTAGATGAGCAGAGTTCAAATTCCAGTAGAATTACGTGCAAGTACTCTTGGGAAATGAATGAATCCATCACTCTCCTCCAGCTGTGGATTAAATAGCAAGATGGATTGGGTCCTATCGACTTGGTTGGAAACTGGTCTAGGACAAGGACAACTCTGAATTCAAAACTCTATATAGCCTTGATGAAGCACATACTATGCAGCTAAGAAAAAAAGATCATGGAGTTCACATTGATCTCTACAATGGTTGAACTATCATCAAAAATGGTTATGAAAAATTTCTCAGAGTTAACCTGTAGAAAAAGACAATAGGAAAACTGTAATATTAGCCAATGTGTTTCGTCCAATGGTAATATATTAAAAAATGTATAATTTTTTATATGTCATATATAAGTATAATCATATTTGAGTAACCACTAAAAATAACATTTAATATATATATATATATATATATATATATATATATATAAAAATGCATATTTTTCTTTAATGAGATTTCTCAAATATTTAGGTCAGCAGACAAAAATAAACATACTGTTTAATAAATGGAGTGTCAATTAAAACATGAGTATCAACTTTAAACATTTAAAATGATAAAAATCTGTCAGATTGATAAATAGAAATTAATTACCATATATATTATTGAACAGAGTTTCTCATCACCCATGATAGAAAAGTTAACCTTAAGCAGACTGAAATATTCTTTATACTAATAATATGGTTTCTACACTATAATATACACACTTGTATTTTTCTATTGCATTTTCACTCAAAATGTAATGCTAATCACAGAATGCTAATCAAGACAGAACAGATACTAGGCTCTGATCCTGCCTGAAGGCCAAGGAACATGTACTCAGTATTTAACCAACTCTTCCCAAGGGTAAAACATAATGCAAGGTACTTCCCAAAAACCACTGTCATCAACCCGCCCTCTTTAGTGCAATGAGGGAGGTGCTGCCACAAGGTTGGAATCTCCAGAACCATGCATTCCTCAAAGCTTTCTGTGAAATATCTGAAGACAGAAACATAGTAGAAGAGTCAAGAACAGATACTACACCTTGATACCAACTCAGACCAGGAAGTTTTTATTTACTTGACCTTCACACTGACATCAATAGTGCAATGAGAAAGGTGCTGCCAAGGGGTTGGATTGGAAAGCCAGGATCAGGCATCTTCTCCCATCTCAAATAAAGAGAAAACAGAAACACTTTGATCTTGATCAAAAGAGAAATATACAGCTTTTTACCTGACCTTCCCACACTAAAGGATGTGACACAAGTTCATTTGTTTTTTTTTATATATGTGGGGTAACCATAAACTTGCATACGGGCCAAGAACAAAAAATGCCCAATCCATGTGAATACCTCTTTTAGTACAATGAGGCAATTGTCACTGCAAGGTTGCAATCCTCAGGACTAAATAAATAATATCAAATAAATAGAGAACAGATAATACACTTTGATCCTGGCTGTTTTATCGGGAAGTATGCATCCAGATATGGATTATAATTATAGGTACGACACTAGTTAGAATAATTTTTATAAAATTATGCTAATTACATGAAGCATCATAACCTAATATTAGTTATCAAGTTCCTTGTATCGTTTTGCTAATTTCACCGAGAGAGTGGAGCCAGACCTACTTGGATTTTCATTTTTTTTACTATTAATAAACATGCAGCTACTACTTTTCATAATCTAAACACATAATCATACCAGTAGAGTGACCTAGTTGACAACTAGACCCAGAAATCACATACCTGCAATTGTAAAACCTGTTTATTGGACTACAAATGTGATTTTCTGTATTCTTTTTCATTTTGTTTTGTCAGGAAAAATTAGGCATGATTATTCAGTTATTTCATATTGAATGATATGTCGATGAAATCTCTTAGAATGAATATTACTGCAAACCTCAATAAGGATTTGTGCATACAAAAAAAGACATTACTTCTTGTCACATATTTTTATCAAGTGTGTCAAGAAAGGTGAAATAAAATGTAGACTTTAAATAAGTAGAAAAAAATGTTCCTACAAGTGAAAATGTACAAAATGTCAAAAAAGATTTCAAGAGAATCTGAACCCATTATAAAATAGGTCCAGTGTAACTAGTAAATTTTGAGAAAAACAAGCAGAGCAAAAAGAATGGGGTTAGTGGGGAACAGGCCATGCATGGTGCCACAGTAAGATGAGCAAGTGAAGGAGGAGAAACAGTAGCAGGAAAAGTAGAAGGAATTGTAGCGGGAAGAGTAGAAGGAATAACAGCAGGAAGACCATGAAAAGCGGGCCAAGGAACCGCTAGAGGATGATCAGGCAAAGGAGAAAGAACAGTAGTGGGAAGAGGAGGAGGAGAAAAAAAAAGTATTGCTCTTGCCAAAATGTCTTATATTTATCCTTGTTATCCATAAATTTTGGCCAAGGATTTTGGATAACTTACAATGATTGATTGATTGATTGATTTGGGTTTTTTTATAGTTTAATCTTTTTGAGGTTATTTCAAGCCCAAACATTTTTGGATTGTAGGAATTTTTTTGGAGATAATGATTTTCTGATACAAGTTTTACTATTTAACTCATAGTTGGGAGGAGAAGAGGTGAATACATACCTTTCTCAAGAGTATATGCATGTAAGTGAATATAACAAACCTGACTGGAATTCAACTGATTTCTCATCCTGAGCTTTTATCCATTACGCCAACAAACACATCCAAGCTTACAGCATCTGGTATTCCCAAGTGGTCACCCATCTAGATATTAACCAGGTTCAATGTTGCTTAACTTTGTTGATCAGATGAGATCCAGTATTTCAACATGATATGGCCACAAGCCCTACCTTATATGGTTCAATAACTAACAAATTGATCCTAGCTATTATTTTTTTTATACCATATTTGATCTCCACAATTACCTGACACTTGTGCATTTTTGATGGACCGAGCCAAGTTTAGAATATAAACAATCAATAACAATGTGTTTGTGTTTCTTGGTCTTAGTTTCTGTTCATACAATAATTTAAACTCTGATAAAAAGACCACGAGCCATAAATTAATTTTCAAATAATACTAAAATATGCAGTTATTACTTGCACTATTTATATTCAGACTAATGTCCTCATCTTTGTTATCACAATGTTTTGGCCAATGTGGTGTCCAGCCTTCCTCAGGTATATATCAATATATAACCTACAGGGTATTCTGAACCGAACACTTAATCTGCAGGGGTAGACGTCTCGTTCTACTGCTCATGTCTAAGGATATTGTCTAGTGTTTATTTTTATTTAGTACTGTTCAGTTATTGCACGCCCATTTTCACTGAGTGCAAGTATAAGCTGCTCAACTCATTTTGAGCCTTTTACTACAGCAAATGGTCCTATGGGACAATAGCCTAGTGGGTAAAACCACTGATTTGTGAATTTAGTAATAGTTTTAAGTTCAATCCCTAGGTCAGGCAATGTGTACTTGCATTTAGTAAAGGGTGAGCAATAACTGAACAGTACTAAATAAAAATAACTAGGACGATATCTCTAGACACGAGCAGTGGATAGAGAACAGTATACTCCCATAGATTAAATAAAGGCTTCAGTTCAGAATTCCCTGTAGGTTACCGAGATGGATAGACACCCAAAGTGCGCAAGCGCTGAACCATTGTCATAACAACAAAGATGAGGACAATTGTCCATATATACAGGGTGCCCCACGAAAAAAAAAAAAAAAAAAAAAAAAAAAAAAACAGGATTTAGATTTACTATATGGCAGAGTAAAGGATTTAGATTTACTATATGGTGAAGTAATGGATAGCAGTTTGGACTGAGGAATCAGAGAGTCAAGCTCGAATTCCAGTCGAATCCATTACATTCAATTACATGCTAATTAATACCCTTAGGAAAGGTATGAATCCTCTTCTTTGCTAAAACACCGCTATGGCTAAATAGCAGGACAGACGGGGTTCTATAGCCTTAGATGGCAACTGGTCTGCCACAGAAAGAAATGGCAACCTACAGCAGGAAAAAAATCTACCTCATCAGTCACATATCGAAAGGTACATGATTGCCTATGCTTGTATCACACATGGCACATAACTGACTGATATGAAGAAAAAAGAATTTAACATAAAAACAATTAAAATTTTTAATTTGCACATTACATCTGACATTTGTGTTTTTGTTCCATTTTAAGCTACTAAATTTGTATCGTTTGCTTTTGTTTCAAATAACTGTAACAGAAATTCCAATTAAACTACCAAATTTCCTGTTTTTTTGTGGGGCACCCTGTAGTGTAAATAATGATATTCCTCATCCGAGAAATTCAGTCAAAATATATAATTATTGTTTTTATGGTTAAAAATCCAGGCACTGACCTCACCTTCATTTATCCATAGTTTTCGCTTGTTAATGCTATGAATACGTAGAGAAAAAGTTCTAACCCACTTGCACCTTCTTGTATAATTCTTTTATTTTTTTTCTCCTTATGATTTATATCACTACAAAATTATTTAAGTAAACAAGATTTATATACTTGTATAATAAATCCAAATAATATAACAGCTCTTAATGAAAGAAACTATAGTAAGGTAATAAATACTTTAGTATTTACTGTTTAACACAACCTCCCAGTATCAGTTTAAATAGAGATCTTTTTTTTTCCATATATTGTGTGGGCTATCCCACTTGGCTTTGGTAAATGTTCATTAAAAGACAAACATATGCTCTCACTTTCTCTCTTCTTTCTTTTGCTCCAAGATGTAATAGCACTCAGGTAAGGCGTCCTTGCTGGGACACGTTTGTTTCCTCAGTCAACTGAGCTCACTCACACACATAGATCACACACAAACAAGCACTTTCTTATTAGCTAAGTTTTTAATATACTTTCCTTTATTTTCAATTGTGTACACCATAATGGAATTTCTTTGTGTTAATAAATGCATTGTCCTTCATTTTAAAATCCATGTTTTGTGTTCTTATTTTTACATGGACTCACATGAGTCTACCAAATGTTGTTTGCTGATCAAATGTTCCAGGAACCATTAAATATTTATTAAAAAAACGTCTACACCTCATATCAAAACTAGAGACACCTGCAACAATGGTAACCAATTTTCTAAAACTGGATATGTCCTAGAATTTAGAAGAAAATTTAGATATATGGATAAAGGCGGCATTAGTTTAAACTGTCCCAAAAAGGATTTGGGTTTAGGAAACAAACAAAAATCTTCATTAAAACGAAATCCAGTAAAACAGAGTTAACTAATGTATTTATGAATGTGATTTTTGGCATATTGGTTACTATGTGAGTAATGCAACATTCAAAAATGTAAAACAAAGAATTAAGAAGGACAAAACACTGAAAAACTTAGCAGCAACAAACTGGAGCCCCATCAATTACAAGTACAGGGAGGGAACAAACATAAAAAAGAAAAAAAGAAAAAAAAGAAATACATCATTTTTTTTTTTTTTTATAAGGTTTTTAAATTCAAGAGCACTACTTAAGTAGATTGGTCCACTTGTATAAAAAAATTAAAAAAAACAGGGGAAAAGTTTTTAGGAAATAATTTTTGCAGATTAGCATTCTTTAGACCAGGGGGTTCTCAACCAGGAGTGGGATCTTCCCCACCCCCAGGGTTCAGCAGAGGGGTCTAATTTTTTTTTTTTTTAATTTATTTACAGAATTTGGAGCCAATCATGATATGTAAAAAGAAAAAAAAATCCTCTATAAAAATAATCTATGTGAATGAATATGTACCAATATGGAAAATAATAAAGATTTTCACTAATATATATTAGTTGGAATGCACCTTTTGAGCTGGACAATCTTGAAAAGGTAGAGGTGCATTGGGTAAAATAGTTGAGAGCCATTGCTTTAAACATTCCTTAGGCAGCAACACATGACAGAATAAAAAAAATATTAAATTTTTTTTTTTAATTTTTTATCATTTTAGAAGGAAGATCTAGTTCATAATAGCAATACAGTGTAAAAATCAATCCCAGATTTTTATGGCTATTGCACTTAACTTTTATTTACAAATGTCAAGTTTGAAAGTAACATCAGTGACATCTGCATAATTTTTTTTTTAATTTTCAGAAATTAACTTTTATAAATATTTTTTTTGTATAGAATTTTTTGGGGGAGCACATGCACAAACATTTGACCTTAATAATTATCTGAAGTTAAAAATAAACGGATATATATTTGTTTTAATTTGTGTAAATTTTTGTTCTTTAATTAAAAATGTCTTTGTCCATTTGATCTTTATTTAAATATCTTTTTGTAAATCCCACCCATCAAAATATCCATCTTCGTATACAAAACTGCTAATCCACTATAAAGAGGACAAACCCTATATAATATCTGTAAATATATAGGATATATATAAATATATATTATTATATATATGACACTATATATAGGACAAACCCTATATAATATAAATATATATATATATATATATATATATATATATATATATATATATATATATATATATATATATATATTCAGTTATATGGATATGAGTTTATAACAATGGGTTTTATATATTTTATATGATCATCAGACAAACCATACAATTGAATGTTAGCTCTAGCACTTTCCACTAAGTAATATGCATATAAAATATATACAGTTATCCAGATGTAAAAGAACGAAAAATAAAATTCAAACATTCAAAACATTAATTTAATACAAGAGTAGAGCAATAAATATTTATTATAAGCTGTTACATTACAACATGTAAGTTACTACTACAAAATTGTACATTTTGTTTCAATGTTTAATAAACGTCTCATCAGGTAGTTAACAATGATGGTTTATCACCCATCATTGTTAACTACCTGATGAGATGTTTATTAAACGTCGAAACAAAATGTACAATTTTGTAGTAGCAAATTACATGTTCTAATGTAACAGTTTATTATATATATATATATATATACACACTGTTAAATTGTAACAAGTGTCATGATCTAAGGGAGGTTTGAAGAATGCTAATGCACAAAAATTATTTTCCCTATCATTTATGAGTGGACCAGTCTTTTTAAGTAGTGCCAAAATCAAAGTATAAAACAATTCCACAAAGTGTGTGCATATGTATGTATGCGCGCTCTCACCATACTTGTTATTAATATGTGATATTTTATTGTTGAGAAATAAAGAGTCCAAATTTTAAAAAATGGAAACTTTATACACTTTGGAGATTTAATTCAAAGATTCATGAATTTTTATGGTTTTGCATTTATAAAAATAAATACTCAAGACCCACAACAATATTAGTCCAAGGGAAACAAATTTGGCTAAAAGAAAATTGCTGAAGGTTCTGCAAGGACAAACATTGATAAATGACTTGCAAGAATCTTTATATTTCTTGAAATACTTCATGAATGTAACAAAACTGGCTTCAATCAACGCATGTGTGGGCATTTATCTCTAAAGTGTTTCTCTTAATCTGTGCATGTGCGTTTGTGTTAACAGAAAGAGCATCTGTGAGTGTGTTAACAGTATCTGTGAGCACAGGTGAGTTAACAGAGAAAGTGTCTGCAAGCTTGTGTATGTGTGTGCACATGTTAAGAGGGAATGTGTTAAGAAAGAGTGTGTGTGTGCACACACACACGTTCAGAGAGAACATGTGTGCACATATGTTAAGAGAGTATGCGTGGAATGCTGCGAGAGAGAATGTGTGTGTGTGTGTGTGTGTGTGTGAGAGAGAGACATGAAACCCACAATTCCTTTCCAGTGCATCAAGCAAGCAAGAAACAAGTATTGCAAGCTAAAAGATTTTTTATTAGAATCTTGTCAACTGATGTTTTGCTTTTACAACTTTGAACTTCTGCAGTTCCAGTACCTTTCATTTCCCCCCACCCCCTCCCCGCCACATCACATCTCCCCCCCACTCTTTCTTCTCAAGTATTTTTTTTTTTGTTCTGTAATGTTTTTCTTCCCAGTCCCCAATTTGTTTATTGCCTGTCAACTGCACAATTGACATAGGATCACATATTTACACAACTTCCTTACATAAAATTATAATTTTGCTCTCTCTCTTTCCATCCTCCCCTCTCTATTTGCATCTTTTAGTTCCTCTTTACTTTCTCTAACATACTCATTTTATTTGTATACATGAACAGATTATGTTGGTTGTTTTTCAATAAATCTGTGTGTGAGCTTTTATTCAGTGTACTGCAGAAATACCTCCCACATAAGATATTAATGGCAATGGTGTTTTCATCTAGCTATGGTCTTACCATTATGTCAGAGGTATTTCTGCAATACCCTGTATATGTAAAGAATGTGTATATTTCCATAACACATATACATACTTGCCTCAGACAACAAGATTACAGCTGTTCAAGGTGTTCAAGATAACAGTTCAGGCTTCCACATCCATTCTCCCCCACAACTTCACCCATCCATTTCTTTTATTGGAAACGTTTCTCAGGAAGGTGTGCAGGAGCTCAAACCAGGCAAATTTTCTTTTAATTCTTTTTTTCTTCTCTATTCTAAACAACTACATTCAAAGTTTTTTTTTTTTTTTTTTGTAATTGCATCTGTAAATTATATTCATACTAATAACAATTTAAAAAAAAAAACAAAAAAACGTAAGATTGAAAATAACACCCTGCATCTTTTTGTCACAATGACTGATGGTAAAAGGATCACATGACAAAAGAGTTTTTTCAATTAATGATTTGCATGGTGGTATTATTTTAACTAAATGCTTATTAGGTCTTTTTTTTTTTCACTTTTTTATTTATTTTCCTTTCTCTTCTCCAGATTTCCTGACCTTATCAATACAAGAGCAAATTTTCAAGATTTGATTTCAGTGGTCTTAAAGAAAAAATTCTGTTATTAAATTTCTCTTATTATTTTAAAATGTTTTATCACAATAAGAGGTAAAAAAAAAATTAAAATTTTATGGGAAAATTTTTTTTTTGTTTTTAGACTTCTAAAAAGAGAGAAATTGAAAACTGGTTTTCATTCCTCCATGCAAACACCTTCACCTTTATGATGAGTACAAATATCTGTACATGAACAAAGCTAACAAAATCAAAGGACATTTTTGTCTTGATTTGTTTTTAAGTATTTTTTTTTTTATTGAATATTTTTCTTTGAATTAGATTTTTTTAATATTTTTTTCCAAATGTTTTTTTGTCTTTAACCACAGCCAGTCAATAAAGTTCCAGGTCATTGTCATGTACGATGTGACATAATGATTTTTCATTTTGCTTAAAACACTATGATACCAAACCACCCCAAACCCAAGAGGATAACTCTTCGGAAGTTGCTCCAGAGTTGCAGGAGATTTGCCTGAATGTAACGCCAGTTTATAACAAATAGGAGGAGAATAACAGTTGTGTTGGGAGATAGGGAACAAACACGAAGCCTTGTCTCTTTGAATAAAGTGGGTAAGAGAATTAAAGGAGTGCAAAAAAACTGTAGAGGGGAGAAAAAATTGAAGAGAGAACAAGAGACATGGACAGAAGAATGTGAAATAGAGAGAGAAATTACAAAAGGGAGAGAAGAATAGAGAGACTCCAGAAGAAGAGGAAGGTAAAAGAGAAAGGGAGACAAATCCAGTAGCCGGGGCGGGGGGGGGAGTATTCTAAGAGTAGGCGGGTGGGGAAGAGGGATATTGGGGACACAAGAATTAGGAAAAAAAAATTGGAACAGAGAGAAGAGCAACACTGACCGGGTAAAGGAAATATTGAGAAAGGAGAGAGGGGAGGAAGACCGAGTGAGAGGCGTTTAGTTTGCCTTTGTGACAACTCCCCCTCCCATTTTAAGATTCTCCTTCATCAACGTCCATCCCATTTCTCAAGGCGACCCTGTGAGAAAACCAAGTTTTGACGGGGAGCTGAGCACACTTTGTCGTCAACTTCTAGAACTGGGCCATTCAAATCTTGATTTGCAGTCTTTCCCTTAAAGAAAAGAAAATTATATTAGCTTATTTTCTAGTCCAATATATTTAGGAAAGTTTACCTGGAAGAAGACAGCTTGAATAAAACAGTTGATTAAAAATGGAATTGATAAATACACAGAGTTCTGATAATTACAATGGCAAAGAATGATATCAAAGAATACCTAAAAATAACAACTAATAATTTAAATAAGACAACCTTGCCTATTATTGTGCTAGATCTGCCTTCAATAAGCAATAATATTCAACCTAATTACAATTAACAGTGAGGTAGGAACAATTATTCCATTATGGTGTTGCACTTATTCAAGGTGAGGTTGAGGTATATTTGTCAAAATATTATGATGAGATTGCATCACTATTTTAGTTAATTAGACTTATTCCATTGTTGTATCCTTAAAGAAGGCTACAAACAAAGGTGGTACTCGAGTGAAAGGAACAGCAACACAGTCACAGATGAAAGAAAGAGAAGTTTATTGTAAAAGAGAATACACTACTGAAAGACAGAGAATTGGTTAGCAAGCTAGTAAGTCCACCAGGTATATCCTGTGCTTACTATATATATCTACTGATATAGTCAGTCCACATAGACGATAACAATTACAACATCCATTTAGTTAACTTATTTATTCAAGTTGTCATCTACCTCCAGGATCATGCACCGAATAAATTCATGTAGAGTTACTGAAAAGTTCTGGTCTGACCCACTTATCAAAAACTGACCAAATATTTTTTTTGGAAGTTTACCTTGATCAAGCCAAGAACTTTTCAGCAATCAGAGAAATAAAATATCAATAACAAAAATATTACAATAAAGTCTATGTGCATATAAATGAAGTAGCTAACCACATGTTTATTGAAGAGTCTAAAAACTGGTTTTCATCCTTTTATTAAAAGAAACAATCATTAATTGTCGAAATTTCAAAAGAAAAGCCCTCGGCTCCATAAAAGGTTCATACTTCCTAGGGTAAACAAACAAACAATGGAATGCAGCTAAAATAAGAGCCACAATTTGTTTGGGTGTTTTTTTTTTTGTTTTTTTTAACCAATTAAACTAACACGTCTATAGTATGATGACAGAATAGGCGTTGCAGTCAATTTCACACCAAATCGAGGGAAACCACATGCAGGGTTGCTCCCACTTGCCCACCAAAGTCAGAAGCACATGACCTCACACAAGCTTCATGACAGAAAAGTTATATAAACAACTATTCCAGAGAGCAGTTGGGGTAATCTCTGGCAAACATCACAGATCAAGAATATAAGTGCCATATTCAGATCTGTGATGACAGGGCGCCCCCCCCCACACACACAGTAACTGATGAGGTATTAAAATAAAATATGAAATAAAATGTAATGATTCAAGTCTCATATTATTAGTTCACCCAGGATACCATTAACCAATATAAAGACTATTACATAACCAGTTTTTACAAAACTTAAAGAACTTTCTTTAACTTTCTTAAGAAAAAGAAATGAAGCTCAGTTTATCTTTTATGGGGAAAAAATATTCTTTTAAGCCTAACAGTTCATGTAAACCTAAACATTTTTACCTAGATTTTTTCATTAATAATAATGATTTTCATCAGCTTACAGAATACAGGATCTCCAATCACCCCTCCAAATGTAGCTGTACAAAACTCACCTGGAAATAGGAAATAAAACTGAGAAGCCGTAATGACAATTTTCTGCTGGAGTGTAAAAGTTGTTGCAGGCTGAAAAAGAAAACAAGTAATTTGAGGAAAAACAAAAATAAAAAAAAAATGATTTTGTTACTGATTTAACAAATTTTACTTTTTTAACTTAACCACACAAAAAAAATATACAAGGGTTGCTCAAGAAATAATGCCTCCTATTTTGTAATGTTGACCCACAATATTAGAGGTAATTATTAGTGGTACTACAGAGTTTGAACCTTCCTAGCAGTAACCCAGCAGTTTTTGACCTTATTACAGCTGAACAGTACTCTGGCAAAATAGCATCTGACATAAAAGTGCATACAAATCAGAGGTGAGTTATTGAATTCCTCTATGCAGAAAAGATTGCAGCCATTGACTGAAACCAAGTAGTGGATGTAAGCTCAGTTAAGCAATGGGCAATGTATTCCAACAAAGGTGATAGCAATGTGCATAAGCCAAGTGCAGCATCTATGCAAAGTTATTCAGATGTTTCTCTCGTGGTCAGTACTATATAGCTTTATACAGTGTAGGAAATTCAAGTGAACATTTTGCTGTTTTTTAACAATTATGTTCAGCTTGTACAAAGTCCACGAGTCACTCAAAGTTACTGAGAAAAAAAAGCACAATTTATGGGGATATGTGGAGAAGAAAGATAACAGCCCTAGACTTGAACAGGTTAAGATTGTAGTGAGTGGGGAAGCATCCTTTGGGGAGTCAGATCCATAAAGCAACAGTGTGTGGGAAGATGCTGCTTGAGTGGAACTTACAACTCACCAATGGAATGTGAAGAGAAAGAGGATGGTTTGCTAAAATGTATGCTGCATGGTGGTTCTTAGCCATAAAGGTTAAAACTGGTGAAACTAAAGAATGTAGTTCATTTGAACACTTTCCATGGAAAGAGCAACAGAGTAACGAGAGACTAGCAACATTTTGTAGCATAATGATGAAAGGAACTTTAGAAAATACATGTATTGGTGAAAATATTGATCATACAAAGATTTTGCAGTGGTAAAAGAACTTCTATGATAACTTTTCTGTCCGTAGAATGGATATTCAGCTAGTAGATTAAATATGTAATGCATACATTTCTGTTGACCAAAATATGCATCAATTCTCTAAATGGAATCACCTTTTATTTTTTTTTTTTTTTTAAATCAATTCACCCCAAGTGAGGTGATAATGCCACTAAGATGCAAGGGGCTACTGGAAATGAAAGAGAATGAGAAGACCTAGTTTTGTATGGGGGAATTTTTGGCCCAGCCTACAAGCTCAGATACCCCACATTAAATTCAGTCTTATGCCACATCTGACCACATAGGGTGGTAGATATCCCTTAGTTGGAGATTTGTCTCCAGCTCTGCTGGTCTTACTCTGCCTCCAGACAGAGAGGATCCCCAGATGAGGCTATGTCGAGTCATCTCAGGGAAACAGCTACCTGACCCCATTTTATATGGGGTCTACAGGGAATTTTTGGCCGAGCCTATGGGCTTGGATACCCTACATCAAATTCAGCCTTGTGCCATATCTGACCACATGGGGCGGTTGGTAAATATCCTGCAGTTGGAGATTCATTGTGGAATTCATTTGACTACTACTTCTATGCAAAGCTGGTGAATCTTATGTGTTGTTCTTGTCCTAAGTATTATCATTTATTACCAAACTTTGATTATTCTATTCAGTAACCTTCCCTAGGTTACAACACTATTCCTATTGAAGGAAAAAGTTAAATAAATAGTCAATAAAATTTCAGAGTTTAGGCAGAGACATTAGCAATATGAAGTTGAAGTAGACTTTAGAAGTAACCGAAAACTCAATCCTATACAAGAAATGGGATAAACCTCTACTCCTGTTCAAAAGTGTAAGAGCTGGATAATAGGCAAATCTATCTAATTCTATTATTTAAGAGATTCATTCTAAAATAACACCTTCCACTATACTTTTCTCCAATTTATACACTTAATACCAGAGTGTAGATGCAATTATCGATATTTCTGATCATTTAGGAGCATGGAATGATGCATTTAGTGAAGAAGCCTTAAAACATTTCATCTACAATTTTCCACTCACCTATCACTGCTGCAAAGTTTACCAGATGCAACTTTTTCACAGACTTTCTGATTAAGTTCAGATTCAAACAATGGAATCCCAAAGAAACAGTCAAGCAGAAGCCAGGTATCCTCTTGGTCAGCCACAGATCCCTCGTCTTCATCCTGTTCAGTCGGTGGAATGATGTTTAAGGTCAAATTGTCACGGTCAAGGTTGTTGTTATCTTGAGGTAACCTGTTCTGCAGACTGTCCAGTTCATTGGACAGCATTTCAGCACAGGCACGGTTCTTGATGCCATTATGGGGAGCATCTAACTCATCTTTATGAGAGTGCTGGTTGTTGTTGTCATGGAGGCTGAAGTCAAGGTCTACAAGGCTGGGCACCTTGTCTTCCTTTGCATCACTCGAAGACACAGAGGAAGAGATGACCAGGTTGTTGAATGTAGATCCCAATTCATCAAAGCTGGACCGTCCAGGTTTGCCAATGTTCAGCAGTGTGATGTAGCCACAGGTGTGTTCCAGGTCAATCGACTCGGCCAATTTCTGGATAGCTTGGTGATAATGTGCTTTTTTCTGTGAGAATTTACCTGAATGGGAAATGAAGTGGAGAACAAAGAAAAAATATTAACAATCAACAATAACAATTCAAAATATGCAATCTATGTCACACAGTTAAGAAAAAAAAAAAAAAAAATCTCTACCAACAGAGGAGCAGATTGCAATAAAAAAAAAAAAAAAAAAAAGCCAAGGTACAGCAAGGAAAACAAAGTCCCATGGGACACTGTTTCCCAAAAGAAAAAACTTTGAAAATTGAATTTTTTTAATAAAACAAATTTTAATTTGAATGTGTGCATGGAATAAGCACTTATGATTGGTCAAAGATAGATATTTTGGTAAGTAATTTATCACTTTATTTGTTCTGTTGATGTTAGCTCAAGGTTTCCATCCTAAAACTTTTTTTCAAGTGCAGAAGTTATAAGAAAACATGGCATCTCTCATTTTGTTTTTTTTTTAATCTTATTATCTTTCACATAGACATGCATTTAATATTAAGACTTCCTTGGTTATTACAAGAAATATTATATATATCCTGTTGCTTTGTTTTTACAATTTCCACAATGTTTTAATTCCAGTCATTTTAGGTCTATCTTTACCTTACTTTTCAGTTTGTTTTCTGTCAGTTATTTAATGCCAAAAAGTTTTGTTTTTTTAATATATGGCTTTCAAAAATCCTTTGGGTCATTGGTCCCATTACTCTTCAGGTATGCCCTTAGAACAGTTATTTTTTGCTATCATTTCTGGTAGAGACGTGGGCTAGAATAGTCTCTATTTTATCTTGAAAAATGTGACAAAACCATTGACAAGGTCGCTACAATTGGTTAGAATATGTTTTACAGTATATACCTCCTGACATGCTGGACATTCAGGAGGATGCACATTTTTATCTAGGAGAAATGAAGGAGTAATACAGATAGGACAAATTGTTCCACAAAATCAGAGGTAATGATGCCATTCTCCTAAAATGGGTTTAATTTTGTAAAGTTTGTTTTTTGGGTGGTAGTTCCATAACTCTTGTTAACTTTTCAGACATTGTTTTGCATTTCTTATTACTCACAGTTAAACATTATTTTTACTCTTTTCTGCATCAGATAAAATGGTTAAAATTGCTAGCATTTTTTTTTAACTATAAAATAAACACCATTTATCTTTAAATCATACCAGTTTTTACATTTAAAAAAAAAAAAAAAAAAAAAAAAAAAAAAAAAACTGGGTTTACAACTTTACAGAAAGAACTTAATGAGCGAGATTCACATCAATTTACCTGATATGTATCGCTTTTCATTATTTAACGGAAATGGAATAAAGATTGTCTTTCCATCTGTTTCCCAGCCATGGGCCTGCAAAGAGAGATAAACAAAAAATAAAACTGTGTTACACAACAGAGCAGTTATATTCCACTTTAGCAACTTAAGAAAACAAAAAAAGAAAAAAAAAAATGCTACTTTTTCTTACTGCAAGAGGTTCTTGAAAAATTTCCACAAAACAACTTTATATTAATATTACAGAAAATAAATATGCAACCCTTTTTATAAAAATTGTTCAAAATTTTACATTTATATACAAGAGCTACAGTTTTGTGCTGTGATTATCAACATGTATACTTGAAGCAGTTAAAATTCAGTGTAAGACTTTATACTCATTTTACCTAATACTCTTGGTAAAGGAATGAATCTACTTTCCCCTTAGAAAAATCATCACTAGCATGGTAGACTAGTTAATGAAGAAAAGAGTGAATTAATGAACATTTGGACAAACCACTCATAATTACCTTAACTAGCCAAGTGATAAGAGCAAATAAGCTGTTGTCCCTATGGTCAACCTTGACAGGAAGCAATTATTAAAAACTAGCTTAAAAGCCACCCTATCAGGCAAAATTTAAACTAGCTCCAGCAGAAGGCTCTTTATAGGGACTCCTAAACAAGCTAAAGGCCCAAAGTCTTTGCATATTCTCAGAGTTGGAAGCTCCCCTGGCTGCTATTTGATCTGGTTTTCTGTTGGCGGAAATTTCTTTTTGCAAGCATGTTGCTGGCGTATGCAATAAACTACATAAGAACTCAAAATTGATCACTGCATTTAAGTATTGCATTATGTACATATGTCCTTACTTTTTGTACAAACAATTATATTTATTTCATGAGTTTCACTAGATTATCCAATTATTCCCAAATTATCATACAAAAATTTGTCAAAAAAAAAAAAAAATGAAATTTGGGAAGGGAGAGAGGAAAAAAAAATGGATTTGTAATTTAAGCATTCAGCAAAGAAAAATTATTTTGAAATTGCACCAACCTGAACTAGAACAGCAGAATGGGACAAAGCATCATTAAGTGTCATGAGGATGTTGGAGGAGGCTATTACACCTGGATCATGATCCCATGTAGTCACTAAGAGACGATCATATTCCTGAAGAATATAGAAAATGAATATCAACATTTATTTTAGCAGATTTTATGTACTTATTTCCAAAATGAGGAATTAAGCCTCAGTGGGACAATATAAGAATCCTTAACCATTTTGTTTTTAAGATATTAAAAAAAACATTTAGTGAAAAAATTCAATATACTTAAGAATTATGGTAGGAATTTCACTCTGGTTTCAAATGTGGCATCTTGGATAAAACTTAAAATTAGCAGTACATTGCTCTAATCACTGAACCAAATCCCCAAGTTCTATGGAATGAAAATTATTTAAATTGTCACATTCTTCATAACTGAAGAAAACGTTTTTATTGTTTATAAATTTTTTTGAAAAGTCTAACACATCCAACCTTGTCCAAACACTCAAATCTCTTTGTATATTTGCTGTCATTAAAACATTTCATTCAATCTATTCTTCAATCTTTGTCAAATGTTATTTGTGAGAAAAATCTCTTAACACCAGAACCAACAGAAATGTTTATTAATGTACTCACTGAACTGGTCTATCTTCACAACACCAGGAATCCAGGAGATTCCAAACTTCACCAAGGAGTGAGGAGTTTTCTAAACACCAGCTTAGCTAAGCAAAGAAATTCAGTCTTGAAATCTCTACTAGCCTAACTCATGCACCCAGTTGACAGGTTGACTCTTTCAACTTCTTCCATCCCCAGTGAGGCTCTGTATTCATTATTTAGACTATCCCTCTTATGCCTCCAGATATGATCTGCCATACTAGATTTTTCAACTTCACCTTTTAAGCTTGGCTTTCTTGTGTTCCTCAAGTCTAACAGTTAGAAGAGAGCTGGCTCCTCCCTAATTGTCGTTGGGTTTATCTTGTATCAAAGAATTCAACTTCTTTGTTGATTGCTTTCTTTATGATGTTAATGACTAAATTCACTGGCAACATGCAGGTTTAGGACTAGAAGTGTCCAGTTTCACCAAAACCTTTTCCAGCCATCCATTCCCTATTGCTGTTTGTATGAATTTTGTTGGAGGTGAAAGAAAATCAGAGTAGAAGAAAGTACCAATGACATGAATTTGTTTATGGTGAACCTCAACTTGCCAGGAAATGACCCATGCACTTGATTTCATTACGTTCCTCTGTAGCACATGTGGAATCCATGCAGAATGCAGAATCCAGTTTTGAAACTGCAACAGACTGCTACTGACCATTATAATTTTGAGTGGCGCCTTCTGTGGCATATCTGTCATGATAGCCCTCTTCATCTGCTGGTTCAACTATTGAGATCTGTTGCAATCATGATCCGTTTTGTTCCATTGTTGGAGGTCTTGGGGTCAGTCAAGCTTAGTCTGGGTCCTTGTCTTCGACCTTGTCACCAAGGGTAGCCCTACCAGAAGTTTAGAACTCTCAACAACATTGCTCTCAGAGATAAGGATAAGGAGTGACCATCAGAGGCATACATGTAGACACATAAAATATATAATAATATACCTTATGGAATATACAAAGTATGCTTATTAAAGCAGGTTTTTGTCATAAAAATACAAGTAAGAACGTTGCAATGGGTGAACTTACTATTAAATATCACACTGATCACAAGAACAGTTCCTCTGTCCATACTGCATAATGAATGTTTACTGTTAAAGTCATACTGGAAATTCCACTCAAGAACAGATTGGCAAAACATGTTAGCAACACCAAAAATCTTTTTTTTAATGTGCAATACCCAACAGGAGGCGACTGATCATGACTATCCACAATTTCATGCCCTTTGTAACTACAAAGTAACCAAAAAATTTCTGTCCGTTTTTAAAGGAAAAAAAGAAAACGCTTCACTGTATGTGTAACTTATATTTAATCTTCGAAGCTGTTCAATGCCCTTGTGGTAGAACTTGGGGAGTTTTGACGCAAAGAAGTCCATGAGGGCTTTGCGCAAGTCTGCTTCTGATTTCCCACGTAGATGATTATCCAGGGAGTGGAAGAGGTGGTAATCGGATGGTGCAAGGTCAGGTAAATAAGGTGTATGTCACAAAGTCTCCCACCCAAGTTGCTGTATGGTATCCCTGACCACTCGCGCGACATGCGGCCTGGTGTTGTTATGAAGGAAAAAGCACACCTTTGCAATTCACCAGTGCTGGCTCCTTCTGGCGCAATGCCTGTTGTACATGTTTCAATTGCTGCGAGTATAGGTCTCCAGTGACTGTTTGACCCGTTGGTAGCAGTTCATAATGAACCACTTGACGACCTGTCCACCAGACACAAAGCATAATCTTGCTTGGGTGCATAGGCGGTCTTGTGGTGTGAGGGACAGCATCCTGAGGAGACAACCAATGTCTGGAACACTTAGGGGTTTCGTACAGAACCCACTTTTCATCACTGGTAAGCACTCAATTGAATGAGGATGTGGTACGGTGGCGAGAAAGCAGCGATACGTAGGCTGCCACTCGTTGTCTCTTGTGGACCTCCAACAGCGTTTGTGGAACCCACTTGCTCAGTTTGTACGTCTTAGCTAGACGGTGAAGGTGAAGTCTAACTGTTTCATCTGAAACGTTGAACTGACTTGCAAGTTCACCACACGTTAGACTACTGTCCTCTCCATGGCCGCCTTCAGGACTGTCATTCAAGACTTGTGGTTGTCTACTGTGAGGCTCATCATGGAGAGACAAATCTCCCGACTTGAATTTTCGAAACCAACATGCAGTCGTTCATCATCCACAGCACTATCCCCAAATGCTTGACATATGCGGCGACTTGATGCAGCTGCTGATAAGTCCACTTTGAAGTCGTAAAGCATAGAGCCCTGAACGAGATCTCTAGACACTTCCAGCCTTCTCACAGCTGTCCGGCTTATAACTGATGGCTGGGCACGGGGCGCGTATTTTTTATAACGTCTGATGTTCCTACTTCCAGCTGTCCGAATTTGAAAACAATTGCTACACGCATTTCATATATATTTCAACTTCATTCAATGACTAATCAAAAAACAGACAGAACTTTTTTGGTTACCTTGTATTTGTCCCTTTATCACTCCTCCAGACCCTGTTCTAGACTTGTTAGGTCGATTATTTGCTGTTTCCCTCTTGCCTTCAAGATGTCCAGTGGGTGTTAAATTTTAATTATGGGTCACAGAAATTTCAATTGTCTTTATGATTGTAATTGTTTTTTTTTATTCCCATTTTCCTTATGTTATAGTGGAACACACCTATTCTATAGTTAATAGACTCTCCCACCTATAATAAGTAGGAGTAGTAGCAGTCACTAAAGTCACTCAGTGAGTTGGTCAGTCAGTCGATGTCGGATGACCGTTAGTCGGATATTAAAGTATCAGCCACCACAACTAGATTGCTGCGTCATTCAAGTTCCTAACGTTTTGTACGTCGAACCTATTTTAGGACCAACTTAGTGAAATACAAGCCTCTACAGTGAAACTACTCTACAACACCTTAAAACTTCCTCATTTCTCACATGTTCAGCCCATGGCATTTTCAGCATCCTCCTGTATAACCACATCTATTGCCTCAAGTTTCCTCTTCATCTGTGAGGAAACTGCCCAACAGATAGCATAGAAAAATAAGGCAAAGGTGGATGAAACACTTAACAGATTCTACTCTTAACAATTAAGGAGGAACATGCAGAGAAGGAAGAGAGATGGGGAGAAAGCAAACACTGAATAATGACGAGTGAGATTGATGACAAGATCTCATTTTACAGTTTAAATGGCTAAATGTAACTAAGTTTTATGCTAACAATTTTTCTCACACTTCTGGTTTGTGGAACTCTTTCACCTTGCTATCCAGTAAACATTGATCTTCAAAAATTTAAATGCAATGTAAATTATTATCTTATGTCTTAATTTCTGTTCTTTTATTGTCCTTGCTCTTTAATGTTTTATTTTTTTATATTCTTTCAAAATCAATAAACTCCTGCATCTTAGTGGCTTTGCTGCCTTGCTTGCAATAAAATGATTAAAAGAAAAAAAAGGTAGATAAACTGTACTTATTTAATACATTATTTTCAAGCATATATGTTCTTATGCTCAATCATAATTGTCTTGTGGGGAAAAGAAACTTTTATATTAAAACAAATTTTGCTATAATTATCACTCACATGTACAGAGTTCTCATTTCCAAAAATTGCAAATATGATGATTATGGATGTTAAAAGAAAAAAGCAAAACAAACACAAATGGAATATTTACCTGAAAAATGGCTGGTAAACGTCTCAGTTTTGTACCCTTGACCAAAAGCAGAGAAGGTGGCCCACTGGCCGTCACGTGATAAATGAAAAGTTTAAACCAAACAGAATTTACCTTTAAATTAAAGAAAAATAAAAAATATTCACATTGATATTAAAAGACATAGCTATTTGAATTATTTAGGTCATTAAACAATTAGATACAGTGGTTCAAATAAATATCTAATGTATAAAATATTTTTTCATCAAATAGATGCATATAAATTTATCACAGCCTCATGGAATTTGATATACACCAAGTTTCAAATACAAAGTATTAGGGCATTATCACTACCGATCAATTAATTGTATAGACAAAACATTATTTGAAAAATAAGAATAATGAGAGCTTAAAAAAAAATGAAAATAAAATAACCATAACATCAACAATTTAATGTAGAAAAGATGCATATTAAGTTAGACAACAAGCAAACCAATGAGTAAAAACACATTCTCCGCCTGCAGAAGAATGTACAACACACATGGCTGAATAATTTCAGTTACTGTGAATTTTTCATAGGCTGATGCATCCAACAAGTGGACCAGATTTGTTGAGATATGAGAAACTGAGTCACCATCTCTAGAATGGTTACCAACTGTAGAACCCAGTCTGTCCTGTTATTTAACTGATAGCTTTGGGGAAGGGGGGCAAAGAGATAGATTCATACCTTTCTCAAGAGTCTTTGCATGTAATTGAATATAACAAACTCGGCTGGAGGCAATGTTTATTATTTTAAAAAAGCAATGATTAGAATTTTAATAAAACAAACGTATGAAAGTAAATTTATACATTTTCTTTGTTCTTAAGAAGTGACAACAAAAATAATAAACACTATTTTATTGTTTGTTGGAATGGGTGGCAAAACATTGGATAATTTCCAATTGATTCAAACGTTATAAAAGGTAAATAAGAATTTTTTTTATAGTCTACATATTTTAATGTTGTAAATGTTTATAAATTTATGAATAAAAAAATGTTTATGTCTTTATAAATTGGTAAATGATAAATATTGTATTGCATTAGTTTTAATGCAACTGTATTTGTTTTTAGAATGTTGTAAATATAAAATTATTAATAGTGTTTAATATTTTTGTTGTAAATTCTCAAGAACAAAAAATATATAAATTCACTTTCATCATGTTTAGGTTTTATTTCAATTCTGATCATTGCTTTTTAAAATGATAAATAGTTGAGGAATGAAGGTGGTTAAAATAGTAGCAGTGTCAAGGGAAAAACAGTCCTTTTGACAGTTTTTTTTTTTTTGCTGGCACAAAGGTTAAAGTTTGCCTTTTAATGATTTTTTTTAAGAGTTTAACAGCAATTAATGGCTCCTAAATATAATCTATTCAGTTTTATATTTTTCAACTGCTGTAGAAAACATTATATATTGGGTTGTTACACAAATTTGTTTTTTTTTTTTTGTTTTTTTTTCTGATATTCTAAGAATAATCTTACAGAGCATTTTTTGCTTCTTAGTAACTCTGGTCATCCTGTGAAACTGTTGTCTAGAGTTATTGATATTTTATTTCAGATTAGACTCCCCTTTGAGACGTAATACCAAGAAGTAATGTTTATGTTAGACATCTTCTCTGTGCTTTTAATCAAGCTTACAAATCTTCCAGACATATTTCTGCAGTGTATGGACATGACATCATTACCAACAGAATGGCACAGAAATGGTTTATCTGTTTCAATGAGAAGTTTGAACTTACAGATCTCCCGTGTTCTGGTCAACCTGCTGAGTTTGATGAGAACCAATTAGATGCAATGATTAAAGAAGAACCATGCCAGACCAGTAGGAAATTAACTCAGAAGATGGTAAGCTGTTGCTCGTCATTTTCACTCAATGAGTAAGGTCCTGAAACACAGCACGTGTGTGCCACACACATTGACCAAGAGAAACAAACTCCAGCACTCCTCCATTGCCACCAGGGTGTATTCATAGATACAAAGAAAGAGCTTGGTTGGAAAGTTCTGCCACATTCTCCTGATTTAGCTCCTTCAGAATACCACCTTTTTCAGTAGCTTTCTAACAATTTGAGGGGTGTTTCATTCAACAATGATGTGAAGGTTAAGACATAGCTTGATGAATTTTTCAATTTAAAACCTAGTCATTTCTATCGACATTGAACAGCTACTGGATTGTTGGTAGGAGGTCGTAAACAATGAAGGGGAATACATTGTTAAATGATTCATCAGAATTATTAATAAATAATAAGTATTAAAATAAATTGTTAAAAAAAATGAACAAATTTAAGTAACAATCAAATAGTTCTTCCTTAGAAAATTTTTTTGTTGATGATAAATACATTAAATAAATTACTTCTGGAATGGCTGGTCCAATATGTTGTGGAGTACAGCTGCAAACCGGTTTCACTTCATAACTCAAGGGGGCCATAGATACCAGCAATCTGAAAGAAAAAAAAAAAAAAAAAAATAATAATTTTTGTAATTTAAAAAAATTTTCTTCATAAAATGGTAATTAAATCTGAAGAAAGTCACATTATAATAGGAAAATGTTTTTCATTGAAATGTTCTAGCTTAGAAATAGTAACACTTTCAGGAGCTATAGAAATGTTTTTACACAAACATTGAGGTTCATAATTATTTATCTAAATAAACGAATTGTTAAATTTATTAATTTAATAAATTGTTAATTTATATAAATTTTTGTTCTTTACACAAAAATATATATGTCCATTTGTTTGTTATTAAAGAGGGATCTTTTTGTGACCTGCAATGCAAAATAGCTGTTTTCATATGCAAAACAGCTAAGACAATAATTATGTAAAAGTCAAGGATTGATTAGACCAGTGGTTTCCAAACTGTGCAGTGGAAGAGAGTAGCAGGTGAAGTGGAATGATTGAAAAACAATCAAAGATTTAGAAACAGTTTCAAAAAAATTCATATGCCAAAAATAAATACAATTTCAAAATTTAAAATATTATTACAGATTACTCGTAATTGCATTCATGAGTCTCAGTATAGTTATAAATAATTAATGACCAATTTTATCATTGTGATATTTTTGCATCATATCAAGTATTAAGAATATAGTAACTCAGCTCTGCAAATTGGAAGAGAGAGTTATCAAAGATAATGTTCAGACTTCAAATCTGTGGTTATCTCTTTAACCCTCTCATTATTTTTTTTTATTTTTAAATGTACTTTTTATCACATAAAATTTGGTGAGGTGCAAGCAAATTTTTATTCCAAAAGTCCACCCAAGAGAAAAGTTTGGGAACCACTGGATGGATGGATGTTGGATTTAACGGCATGTCAACTCCTATTTGGGTCAATTTATGCCGAAGCCTTATTAATTTATGAATTTAAGATGGTTATTTTGTATAAAAAGTTGAAAGGCTGTTCGGTTTCATAATCTGTATTTTTGAGGATTGCTTTTTCTTGTGACTGTTTTTGATTGCGTATTTTAACATTTACATTCATACATGCATATATATGTTTATAAACACATATACACATACACTATTTGAAAGGGTTATATTTTATTGAGGATCTTTATTTCCTTGAGAAAACTGTATATTATTTCTGTGTCTGTATTTTTGAAAATTTCTTTTAAATTTTTTCCATTGAGATATTTTTGTCTTATTCTAGTTATGATTTTGCATTCCAATAGAATATGTTTTATTGTGATTAGGCTTCCACATCTACATTTTGGTGGATTTGTCTTTTTTAATATATAAGAATGGGTTAAATATGTGTGTCCTATATGTGTTCTGGTTATGACGACTTGTTTTTTTCGAGTATTTCCAAGATTATTTCCCCATTTTAGGTTTAATTTGAAATAGTTTATTTCCAGTTTGGTTTTTCCATGAATTTTGCCATTTGTTTCTTATGTATTTATTTATTTTAGATTTTAAGTCTGTATATGGAATTTGAAGATTTTCATCAATTGTCATTTTTAAAGATGATTTAGCAGCAGTATCTGCCTTATCTCCTCCTTGGATACTAACATGGCTAGGAATCCAGCAGAAGATGATATTTTTGCTTTTTTCCATTGAATGTAGTTTATATAGAAGACTTTGTATTAATGGATTTCCAGTCTTTTCCCTTTTAGGGATGTTAATACAGATAATGAATCTGAGAAAATAATATAGTTTTCTCCTTTGTTTTTTTATATGAAATTTAGTGCTAGTTTTATTGCGTAGGCTTCTGCACTGAAAATTGATGCTTCATTTGGCAAGCGTTTTTTGATAATTGTTTTTTTTGTTATTGCTGCGCTGCCTGTTTTTTCTTGTCATCTTTTGAGCCGTCCGTGTAAATACTTTCATAGTTTTGATATTTTTTCTTTTTATTTTTGAAAATTTTTCAAGGTATGTTGTGGGGTGTGTCTTTGATTTTGATAATTTGTTTAAACTTAATATTATGTTTGGATTTTTGATTATCCATGGTGGTATGTTTGATTGGTTGGTTTTAAGTATTTGATTAGACTGTATATTATTTTCTTGGATGATTCCTTCCATTCGGAGTCCCAAAGTTTTGATTTTATTTGTGTTAAGATTAAATTTCTCTTTGTGATTTGGTGTAAGTACACAATCGTGTGTGGGGTTAGAAGGACAGGAAGAGAGTTTTAGATAGTATTGAGTTGCTAGTTTCTCCATTCTTAGTTGTAATGGGGGGTTCATTTGCACATGTAGACTCTCTATAGGTGAGGTGGGATAGGCTCCTAGAGCTATCCGAAGGCCTTCATGGTGTATTGTGTTTATTGTTTTTAGATAAGACTTTCTAGTTGATTGGTAGATCATGCTGCCATAGTCCAGTTTGGAGCGGATCAACGTTCTATAAAGTTTAAAAAGGGTTTCTTTGCTAGCTCCCCATTCTGTATGGGCTACTGTTCGCAGTAGTTGGAGAGCTTTAAAACATTTTGTTTTTAGGTAATTGATATGTGGTCTGAAGGTCAGTTTGCTGTCAAAGATCATTCCTAGAAATTTATATTGCTGAACTACTGGTATTTCTTCATTTCCTAGTTTTAGAGTTGGGTTATTGTGTAATTTTTTCATTTGACAGAAGTGTACAGATTTTGTTTTTTTTTTTTGATATTTTAAAACCGTTTTCGAGTGTCCATTTGTTTATTTGATGTAAGCATTGTTGAAGTTGTCTTTCTGCTGTGTTGAGGTTTCTCGATCTGTAATATATTGTAAAATCATCAACATAAAGGCTACAGTGTATTCCTGATTTGATGTTTTTTTATGTCATTTATTTTTATTTTGAAAAGTGTAGGGAGAGTACACTTCCCTGTGGTACTCCTCTTCTTGCTTTTTTGATAATCAGAACGTGTAGCATCTATTTGTACTTGGAAGAGTCTATCTGTTAAAAATCCTTTTACAAAGTTTGGTAGTCGACCTCCTAATCCTAGTTTATGCAGATCTTTCATTATACCATGTTTCCAGGTTTGATCAAATGCTTTTTCTATATCAAAGAATATGGCTATTAGATGTTGTTTGTTTAAATTGGCCTCTCTTATGGCTGTTTCTAGTCTTATTATGTGATCTATTGTACTTCTTCCTTTATTATATCCACATTGATATTTTGATATGCGTTTTCCTTCTTCTAGAAACCAACTCAATCTGGCGTTGACCATTCGCTCCATTGTCTTACATAGACAGCTTGTTAATGCTATTGGTCGGTAACTTTGTGGATTGTTTCCCTCTTTTCCTTCTTTGAGTATGGGAATAATTACCAATTCTCTCCATATTTTGGGAAATTTACCAATAGTTCAAATATTGTTAAAAATATTCAAAAGGTATTTCAGTGATTCTTGTGGTAGTTGTTTAATAAATTCATAGTTGATTTGGTCTGGGCCTACTGCTGTATTATGGGATTTTTTTATGGCTTCTATTAATTCTGCTTCGATTGAATAGATTGTTGTAGGCTTCTGTATTTTTTAGACAAAAATTTAGTTGGTTATTTATATCTTTTTGTTTACACTTTTTTTAGGTTTTGATTTTTGCTCATTTTAGAGTTTTCTGCAAATGTCTCTGCTAGTAGGTTTGCTATCTCTTTTTGCTAGTTGCTTTAGTGTTGTCCTTTTTAAGATGTATTATTGGGTATATTTGATTTTTTTCCAGCTATTTTTCTCATCATTTCCCATATTGTCTTGGTTTTGGAATGTGTATTTAGGCTGTTTACATATTTTTCCAACATTCCCTTTTGGCTTCTTTAACAATTTTCCATGCTACTGCTTTGAGTTTTTTCATTTCAATCAAATTTTGGGTTGTGGGTTCCTTTTTGAATTTTCACAATGCTGTTTCCTGGTTTCTGACTGCTTTTGGCAGTTTTTGTCAAACCAGGGTTTAGTTTTTTTATAATTATTTTGCTTTTTTGGTATATTTTCTGAGGCAATGGTTATTAATGTTTTGGTAAAGTATTCTATCGAGTTGTCTGTGTCCTTTGACTGTATCAGTAATTGTTTACATTTGTTTTTTGAAACCCTCCCAGTTGGCTCTTTTCAGTTTCCATCTGACGGGGCCTATCTTTTTTCTTCCTTGGCAGGCTTTTTGATTTTCTAGAATGATCGGGTAATGATCACTGCCACATGTGTCACTATGTGTTTTCCATGTATAATCCATACAAATTTCTGGATCGCATATACTTAAGTCTATTGACGATTCTGTTCCATTGAGGGATTAAGGTAGGTTGAGGATTTATGATTTAATAGACATAAGTTATGGGTGTTAATTATTTCTTCTAATATTTTACCTTTAGTATCTAGCTTTTTGCTATTCCATATAGGATTATGACTGTTAAAGTCTCCTAGTAAGATTCTAGGTTTAGGAAGTTGCTCCATCAAGTTGTTTATTTCTGTTGTATTTATTGGTTCATGTGGGGTATATAAATGGAAAGAATTGTGATGGTTTTATCTAGTGTCACTTGTGTTGCTATTGCTTGTAATTTAGTTTTAATGTGTATTTTACTTTATGGTATGTCATTTCTAATCAATATTGACACTCCTCCATTAGCTCTATGTCCTGTGTATTGTGGTTATAGTGATATTGTTTATAATTTTTAATTTTTAAGTTGGCATTTTCTTGTAAAAAAGTTTCCTGTAAGCAGATGACAGCTGGATACAGTAGTGACATAAGTATGAGTAGGTCATTGTAATTAGATTTTATTCCATGACAGTTCCATTGCAGGATCTTATGTGCCATGGTTATATTTTCATTTTTTGGGGTAAAAGTTACCTACTAGGTTTATATCATTTGTCCTCTCCAGTTTTTTTTTCATCTCTTGAGTTTTTAGAAGCTTTGTCTTCAACTGCTTGTGGTGTCCTTCGGTCAGATTTTTTGGTTTTGTTTTTGAATTTTGTTTACTTTCTTTCTCTTCTATTTCCATATATTCCATAGGCTCAAATTTATTTTCATTTGATATATTGATTCTTGATTTTGAGTTAGATCTTGATCGAGTGCTTTCTTGCTCTGTTGTCACTTTTTTGTCTTTTTGTTTATTTTTCATTTTCTTAGTTTGGGTTTGGGAAGAAGAGGGTTCACTGGAGTTTTGTTCTGTGTTTTCTTTCCAAAGTTGTTTGCCTTCTTCTGGGTTTATTCCATTTGATCTGGGTTGTTGAGTTTTATTTTGATCCGATTTAAGTTCGATTAAAAAGGTTTTTAATTCTTCAAGGAAAGCTTTTAATTCCTTGCATAAATTTGTTATTTCAATTGAACTGTTTATTTTATCTTCATTGTTTATTTTATTTGCTTTTTGTGCCATGGAAGCATAGGTGTTTTCTTTTATGTTATTTTTAACTTCCTTTCGTGCTTCTATGAAAGATATATTTTTTTTGTATTTTATTCTAATTATTTCTTTCTCCTGTTTATATATACTGCATTGTTTTGAGAGGGCAGAGTGGTTTCCCAAACAGTTTGAGCATAGACTCTCATTTGGGCAGTTCTCTTCTTTATGTTCTGGTTCTTTCTCACTACATTTTCCACATATTTTTTTTTATTTCTACAGGAATCTCTGTGATGCCCAAATTTGTGGCATCTATAGCATTGAAGAGGGTTTGGTACGTATTGTTCTACTTTTATACTTTCATATCCAATTTTAATTGTCGGAATTTGGGGGGGAGTTGAAAGTTATAATGTAGGTATTAGTTTGTATCTCTGCTTCATTTTTCTTTATTGTTATTCTTTTGACATTTGTAACTCCTTGAGTTTGGAGTTCTATTTTATCTCCTCTAGAGTGCACAGGGAGAGCTCCTTGCTTTTTTTTACTACCCCTTTGAGAAATTTAGGGTTTGGTGTGGGTAGGATTTTATTTCTATTTCTTGTAGTTTTTTTGTCTTATTAATGTGTCCGCATATATCTTTTTTTTTTTTTCCACTTCTACTAGTAGTGTTCCATTTTGTAATTTTTTTACATTTTGGTATAATGATATTTGATATTGCTTTTTGTATTTTAAATGGAGAAATTTCTGTTAATGCTTTTTTTGCTTATTGCTTCAGTACTATAAATCGTGGAAAGTTTTCACTATCATTTTCTGTTTCCGAGTCGTTATCCACATGTGGTCTCTTGGAAGATTTCTTTTTTTCATTGATTGTTTTTATTTTTGTTCATCATTCTCGCTCCCTACCCACCGCGGAGTCCAGTATTGGGACATGACAAGGGGGAAACCCATTCGCCTTGCCATGTCGGGGCTACGTGAATGATATACTCTCTTTGGGAGGAGTCTTTGAGCACGCATGTTCCTTTGTTTCCGTTTTCCAAGTATTACGGCTGTGAAGGTTTAGCAAGTGTGTCAGATCCTTTTTTTCTCCCAAATTGATTGACCCTCAAACACCGCCTTCCATCAAATATTTAGGGTTAAGTGTTAGTTTTGGTTGGGAAGTGGAGTGTCAGTTATAGGTTTGGGGTGGATTATATATGATGGGGCTTGACATGACCAGCCATTTGATCGGATCGGGCCCCTCCGACCGCCCGTCTAGCCCAGGTAAGGGCCAAAGTGGTGTGTTACAGGATTGTGACCGCTTTACACCTGGGTTACAACCTGCTCAACCACCAGGATCCCGTCCCCAGACATTACGGGTCGCCACCCACGGCCAACAGGTGGCCCCATTGAGGGACTTTTACCCTCTGCAGGGGGGCAGTCGGCGTATTCTGATGCCCCACCGACCGGGCAAAGGAACGACTGGATTAGACACTGTACCGTATCATAAAGTGGACCCTCCCCACTTCTAAATCAATACCAAAACAATATATTTCAATTCTGAGAAGTGTTGCAAACTAAGGAATGTCTAAAGAATGCATAAATTATACATAAATTATTTCCTAAAAAAAGAAATTCCCCTATTTTCTGTGAGGGGACCTTTCTATTTAAGTAGTACATTTTTTTTTTTTTTTAAATACACAAAACAAAGAAAAAAAAGCAAGAATATTTCAGAGTTACAAAATTGCAAGTGAGGGAAGAGTTAATGCTAAAGTTACATGTTAAGAAAAGGTGTAACAGTAAAGGAATCAGAAGATAAAAAACAAAACTATTTAAAAAAAAAAAAAAAAAAAAAACGGCAGAATAGCAAATATTTTGAATTTAGAAATGAAAACAAAATGTACGAGAAACTAATATTGATAGGCAAAAATGTAGAACTGAATGGTGTTAAAAGAAATTTCCAGCATTTGCCAGACCACTAACGTGTAGTTTTTATTCAGTATCCGTGCCCGTGTGGCAGCATCCAAACTTAGCAGGCTTTCACATCGCACCAGATCAATTCCAAGGCCAGTGGAATTGGCAGATGAATCGGGGCAGAGGTTCTTGTTGTAACGGAGAAATCGAATGGTGTCTCGTAATGTGACGGCATGGTCAAAGTAACGCTGGGCTTCTCCTTCAGCCTCGGATCCCACCTGAAATTAAATAAATGAATAATAAATATGGTTTTCATTTCTGTGCATCTACTTGTGATTTCATAGATGAGGTTGAGGCCCACCTTTTGCAGAATCTTACAGAAAATCTGTTTTTGAAGTTTAATAAGTTTTAAAAATTCAAATAAAGAAAGTGGTTTTACATAAAATTAGGGAAATGAACATTCATCAGTGGCTAAACACTTGTCATTTTCTTCTTGCTAGATCCAGAAAAAGTCATGTCTAGAGGAGATGCTCAATGGCTAGATAAAAAAAATTTTAAACTGTCAAATTGAATCACTATTTCAGTCTAAACAGAAACTACTTTTCTAGGAAATTTCTGTGGTATTGTCTCTGGAGAATACTTTTCTAAACAAATTGAATGAGTATTGTCTGGATAGAAAGTAAAAGCTTTTCTGTCAAAATTGAAATTATATTGTCTGGAGAATACTTTTCTGTCAAATTGAATGGTATTGTCTGGAGAATACTTTTCTGTAGTTCCAACAAATTGCCCCACCCAACTAAAAAAAAAAAAAAAAAAAAAAAATTTTGAAGAATTCATGGAATCAAAACTAAATTCATATTCTCTAAAGAGATATTTAAAAAGAACAATCATAAAAAAGTCACATCTTCATGATTGAATAATGCTATCTCTTGATAGTGAATAAAATTTCATTAAAAAGAAAAAACAGCATTGTACTTTAAAATAAAATATATATCATATATATATATATATATATATATATATATATATATATATATATGTTAAAAGGGTCTTAAGCACATTTGTGTATAACACACATACAAATCAGATTTTTAAGCCTAAAAGTTAGTGGTGAATATTATACACAAGTACTAAATTCTCTATTTTTCAGTCACATGCAGGATAGTATAGGAAAAATTTACATCTGTCGTCCAAACTCATGTGCAACAGAGTTTAAAATCACTAACTAATCATTGCATTTGCTTTAAAAAATAATTTAAATTAAAAAAAAAAAAAAAAAAAATTGTATTCACATAGATATTAAGCACATTTTAGTGTCAGCTTCACCATGTCCGTGTCAAAAGTAGTCATGTCAGTTTTATTTATGTTGTCAGCATAGTAGATGTCTTCATCTTTGATGTCATCTTGTCCTTCTTCCTCAAAAATGATCTCATCATTCTTATTTTCAGTCGATATGAACTAGACAAAAAGATGAACAAATGCAAGTTAAATTATCTTACAAGTTAAACATGAGACCCTTTTTTTTCTTTTTTTAGAATTTCTTTGCCCCAAATTAAGTGCACATATTATACATAAATAATTACAGTATAAATATTATGACAAAGGGATGGGATGACTGCACCTTTCAAGTGACACTAAATTATCCTTGTTACTATAAATATTAACACTGACTGCCAGAGGTCAACTATGAAATATGACTTCAGACGCCAACTTTATAATAGCCAACTTAAGCAATAAAAAGTTTTTAAGAGTTGATTTATAGCTTCAACTGAAGTCTTAAAATTGTTTTCACACTAAATATGAATAAACTCATTGTTGGCACCCACAGATGGAAATGTATCCAAAAATGCTAAGCACAAGATAACTCATTCAAGCAATTATTTTAGATCTTGGACATTTGTTGCATTTCATATACTTCGTTTATATGATTTATTTTCAATAAAGTTTTGTTTTAGTTACCAGGATGATATTCCATTCTTACCTTAGATGCCAAGTATCAGTTATTTACCTTAAAAACAACAACAAAAATAAATAAATAAATCTTAGTTGTAGCCTTGACAGTAAGACCACAAAGATGAGAACTTGTGGTTGGCAGTCAATGTGTTAAGTATAAAGTTACTGGTGTTTCTTATTTATGAAGTGATAAACACTTTAGTATTAGTACACTTAATTTTTTTTATATATATATATATATATATATATATATATATATACCTACATTATGTTTGTAGTGCAACTTAAAGTTTCATAGTTTCCCAAGTCATCAAGCACATATGGCAATTGAGCATGAAACTAAGTTGCACTACAAGCATAACAGTATAAGTATATGTGTATTTATTAATATTTACTTCATAGCTCTGTTTAACTACATTCAGCACTGTTTTGTTTGCACCATAAATTAAACTAAATAAATATTTGCTTATCGCATGTATATACTATTGCTAATATCTTGCTATTTAGTTTATATTCTTTAATATATATATATATATATATATATATATATATATATATTAGAGAGAGAGAGAACTATATCACTTGATTGAATATTACTTGCAACCTATATTGAGCCACTAGCAACTTTTTTTCCATGGCCAGACAATATATTATAAAATAATGCAACAAAAATAAATATATTTTCCACAAAGAATACCACCTTGTGAAATTATTGGAATTAAACTGTTTTTAGCAAGATTATCAATTTGTAACTGGATAAGATAATTATAGGTAAATATTATTGGTTAAAATACAAATAGTTACATTCTATATTTCTATCCCTGAATTGCAAAGTTACTGAATTCATAAAAGTGTTCCCAGCAACAACAACAACTGAAGAGGCATGGCATCAAGGTATCCAGATGCTAACCAATAACTAACTGCAATGTTATTCGTACAATTGAATAAGAAATGCAATAGTCTTGAAAATAAATTCAAAAATAAGTTTCTTGATGAGTTATCTCCCCGTAACTAACCTGTTTTTAAATAATTCCGCTCACCTTTTCTAGTTCAGTCAAAAAACTGTCCATTGATTCATCACTTAGTTTGCCAACTTCGAACATAGTCACAGCATGGCTTTTTAAACCCTGAAAGTAGGGGGAAAAAAGTCGGTATTTAACTGAAGACACAAAATATATAAAGCATCAAACAAAATAACATGTTTATGCACAATACTGCCAAATGACAAACCACTGAGTGCAGAATTTCATACTATGTAAAAGTGTATTACAAGTTCAATTATAAACAGAGTGTTTTCTAGTAGCGGTTTATCATCAAAGTTTTAAGATTCCTGATGAAGAGTCATAGATAAAGCTATGATGGCTCATTGAGACTTCAAAGGTTTATAGACAAATATTAGCAAATATTTAGAATTTAATTGATTGAAGAAAATATGTTAGTACAGCATGATGTGGTGACAGGCGGAAAATTACGTTTGAAAAAGTGGCCAGTTTATTTTTATCAATCATTATGAAGGAAGATTGTTGAAAAATTTAAAAATTAAACAATAAAACAATTACCAATACAAATAATTTACCGACTGATCATTCTGTTTTAATAGCATATCAGCTTTGTCGGACATTTAATGCCAAAAAAAAAAAAGAAAAAAAAAAAGAAAATCAAAGTAAAATGTTCTAAAAATTGGATGATTTTGTTTAGTAGCATATCAACTTCTACGGGTAATTTAATGCAGAAATATTTTCAATTCAATTGTATGCCTTCAACTACAGATATTTTGTACATAATTTTATACTTTCAAGGCAAACATGTTATTATATATATCTCAAAAAGTAACCAAAAAAGTCTGTGGAATTTTTTATATCATGTGGGAGACAAAGTGACCACTGATTTGCAAATGAGAGTGTCACACGTCTAGGTGTGGAGTGGGGGTTGACTGAGGGCACTGGTCTTGACCAATGCATGTACGTTACATACACATCAGTCATAGCTTGAGCAGTGGCAAGGAAACATGGTGGTGTCAAAGCAGCATGTTCAAAATTGTATGCTTTATGACTAAGGTGGACTTGTTTGCAGCAAGTTGCTGAATACATCAAGCCTTCCAGGGATAAAGCTTGAAGTGACCTACTGCCAGGTATTGCTTTCAGAAGTTCAGGTTGGGAGATCTGTCTCTTTGTGATGAATCCCGCCAGCCACAAGTCTTGGATGATGAGGCCCTGATGGTGCCCATAGAGGAGGACAACAGCCAAACCTGGAATGAGCTTGCCAAACGCATCAGTAGAAATAATGAAGAAAGAGAGACATTAACCAATGTCAAACATGGATTACCTGCCCTATAACGACCAATACGTTCATCACCATTTGAGCAGGTAATTGAACTACCTTTTTTTTTTTTTATCCTTATTTACTATGCAAACTCTTCAACTATATTTTAGCAGGTCATTGTTCTGAGGTGAGGTTTATACCATTTTCAGTTTTTTGTCATATTTGTTTTAACACAATAGTGAAAATCTCGAAAATAATCCCATAATTTTCAACAAATAAAATAATGAAAAATAAAATTAAAAAATCTCGTAAGAAGTCCAAGAAAATTTTAACAAGATGAATCAAAAAATTCTGAATAAAAAAAAAAAAAAAAAAAAAATGTAAAAATTCTTAATAAAAAATCCAAAAGATTTCAGATAAAAAACAAAATTCAAGAACATTTTACAAAAATAAAAAAGCCTAAAGATCGACATGATTGCGAGAGTGTTCAGAATCAAATAATGTAAAACTATGCTGTTCTGTTCATATACATAATGAAGTATATTAATAAAGGATGCGATGCAGCTGTTTAGAGACTAGGAAATGCTGAAAGAAACTTAGATGAAGATGACAACAGGAAGATTCATTAATGCAAATGAAGTTGTTTATAGGATAGAATGGGCTGTTAAAAAAAAAAAAAACAAAGTTTTAAGCAAACTTTCTAGTTATGAATAAATATGAATATATTTTTTGTTAGGATTTTAAATTATTACAACCAAGACAAGTTATTTTTCTAAGTGGGACATAAAATGATTCATGTGAGGGAGACAATCTGTTAAGATGTGGATGTCCTCAGTCTTTTCTACAAATATTTTCATGGCAATTGTTCTGGGAAGTAGTTGGCCTTAGTGCCTCAACTGCATGAATTTAAGCGTGTGATTAAATTGGCAACTAAGTCTCACCATTTTATTGTTGAACTACCTAAATGCAACTGCCACTTCTAACAGTTTCTTTTCTTGCACTTCATGCCTGTGGAAAATCTTTTTGATTTCTTACTTCTCTACCACCTACAATCTTCAAAAATTTAAATGCAACATCAATTGCTATCTTCTGCCTTCCTGAATCCAGTTCCTTTATTGTCCATTTCTACACTTTTCATCACTAAAGTCCTTTCATTCTCTTTCACTCCCAGTAACCCCCTGCATCCTAGTGGTATTATAGCTTTGCTTGGGATGAAATGAACGAGAAAAAAAAAAAAATTTTGAATTTTTTTGAAGCAAGATTAAATTCCTAATGTCATACAACAAAATAGATCTTTTTTCTTTTAAACATATCTATAACTAGCTTAAAAAAGCCTCCATTTTAAGCTAGCTCCTTAGGCTCTTGATTGGGCCTTTGGTCCAACAATGACACTTCATGTATGGAGTACATATTACATTTTGTTAAACTTAAAACAATATTTTTCAAATAATTAAGTTTTAATCAAAACAATGATATATTTTGTCTATTTGGAACTTATTGCAAAACTAGGATAAACAACATTTTTGGCTTTCCTCACTTAGGGTCAGTACAAATAGTTTGTTTCCATTCCTAATTCTTGAACAACCAATATAGAGCTGGCCATAGAGAAAAGCAGGGTTCCATCGGATTAAGTCCAGTTAGTTTCAATGATTGTCTTTGGGATTTATTGATTGAAATTGCATAGCTCACTCTCACTGGAAACTGAAGTCTTGAACTCAAAAGGAAAATCTGTAGGAATTAAGGGGATTCTTGGAATTAAAACTTTTTCCTCCTTTCCTGGACCAGTAAGGATCTCTGCTTCCAAGAGATGAGAAAGCATCTTCTTGACAATTAACCTTCTTTCATTACAAAGCTTTGGAGGCTCCAGATTCCTCAATAGCATAACTGGCACATTTTCTTTTAGTTCCAGCTTGTGTGATGACATTCCAGGATTGGATAATTCTCTGCCTTTTTTTATTTATGGTGTCAATGGAAAAGTACTTCATGCTTTCTTTTGGAATTTCTTGGAGAAGTTTCCAGTTAATGTTATCCACAATTTGATTCTTTGAAGCTAGCACTGTGATTTCACAAAGCTAGTTTGAATCCATGAAATGGTGTTTAATGTTTGGATAAACATGGTTAATCAAGTCTTGGATACTTGAGACTGAAACTTCACAACCATTTGGGAGTGAAACATTTTGGCATATTTTGATGGTTCCGTTACCAAGCTGCAACAGCAAAGCAGCAAATCTTCCTGCTTCAAGGTCACCTTTAATTCTAACTCTCATGTTTGTTTTCAAGTGGAGACTTTGAACATGGCTCCAGATGTAAGAATTTTTCAAAGAGTTGTGTCCCTTTAATTGAAAAACCGTGACAAACACACAGATATTTTCGCATTAATGTTTAATAAATAAGCAACAAAAAAAAAAAAAAAAAAAAAAAAGTTTGGGCTACACGCAATTTGAGAATTTATACATATTGGTTAATACAAAAAAAAAAAAAAAAAAAAAAAAAAAAAAAATTAATCCAACTTTATATTATAAGCAAGTATTAAACCCCGACTCAAAAAAATAGTTTACTAATAAGTAAACTAGCTAAAATTACCAATTCATCTCTTACTTCACTACCAATAACTATTTCAATTTCGATTGATAAAAGTCAAAACTGTTCATTTGTCTTGTTTCTAAGCTTGTAAGTGTGAGTAAAACAAATAAGTTATTAAAATACTTTAATTACTGAGAGATAACTATTCAAAATTCATTAAGTAAAAAAAAAAAAAAAAAATATATATATATATATATATATATATATATATACACACACACACTAGCAATAGAATAAGTGAACAATAAACTTTAAACAGTTTTCCAATTTGTTCCTACTAAAAAGAATTAGGTATTGTCATCAACCAAAATTTATAGGTTATGCTGAACTAGTAAACAAATAATACAAAAACAATCAATGAAATTTGAACCTAATAATGCAATGCAGGAGTTCTTTTAATTTTGGAAGTGAGCAGAATTGATAATTCTGCAAATTGATGTAATGGAAGTTTATCACAGGAATGACACTTACTTGAGACAAGTTACCCATCATCAGGAACGCTGTGAGCGTGGAATCAAATAAGAAAGCTATTCTTTTCACTGACCCGATGTTCTGACTGCTTGCCTCTGAAATAAATTAAATACTCAACTGAACATATCAAAATAACAAAGACTGAACTTCTCTTAAAAGCTAGAAAATGATTGTTTCTTTGAATATATAAGCTCAATATGAAATCTCAACGTAAAATCATTGGCAAGTTATTCCGTCTTCAGCACAGAATCTGATTTTTCTGCATTTTTTTCTTTTTCGGACATCTTTTATGCTGATAGATACAATTTGAGAAATTTTTTTTTTTTTTTTTAGAGCTGCCATCTGAATTTCTGAGATGAGGCATTGTCATTATTTAAATTTGAACTGTTGTCATTATATTTCCTATGGGACAATAGCCTAGTAGATTAATGCATTGGTTTGTCAATTTAAGAGTACTACACTGGACTGTACAGATTTCGACTCAGTGGAAATAGAGCGAACAAGAATTGAACTGTACAAAAGATCAAAACATCTTCAGACAACACAATGCGAACAATCTACCCTTGTAGATTAAGTAAACGGTTCACTTCAAAATTCCCTGAAATTATTTGGATTGACAGACACTTGGAGAAAGTTGGCAGGTATAATGGCTGAAATATTGTGATGATAAAGATGAAGACATTAGTGCAAAGGTAAATAATATTTTATAGCCGTTTCATTTCCTCAATTTTTCTTGGAAAATTTTCTTTCGCCATTTCCAAGATCAAATAATTACCAGCCATCAAGGAGTGAATTTTATAACCATGTCATATCTTAACAAGTCCAGTCCATTACCATCAATTTTTTCTTTCAGAAATTCCATACAAAAGGAAATGTTGCATCATGTTTAGGTTGACAGATTCATTTTTTATGGCTTATCAACCCTTTGCAGGTTATTTAAAACCAGAAAATATTTTTGAATTGTAAGAATTTTTTTTTGAGATAATTTTTTTTTACTGATAAAAGTCTTACTAATTAACCCATAGCTGGGAGGAGAAGAGGGTATTCATACCTTTCCCAAAGGCATTTGCATGTAAGTGAATATAACAACCCAACAGGAACTGGAACTTGGCTCTCTGATTAACAATTCAAAAACCATTATCCATCAACTGTACATCCAAGCTTACAGCACATGATATTCCCAAGCAGTCAACCATCTAGATACTGACCAGGCTAGATGTTGCTTAATTTCAGTGATCATACAGGAACCAGTGTTTCAACATGATGTGGCAGTAAGCTAAATAATGTTGTGAATTCTAAGTTTTAAATTGTTTATTTCTTTCATCATCTGTCTATATTTCTGAGAGGAGATACTGTAACTATTTACATTGTTTGAACTGTTGTCCTCATCTTTATTGTCATATTCATGATGTTTCAGCCTTTGTATGTTCCAGCCTTCTTCAGGTGATATACGTTGGAATTTTGAGCCAAACCATTTATTTAGTCCAGGAGACACATGGCTCAGTCAATGGGAGTGTTGGCTGAAGTGGTCCAAAAGTGACTTGATCTGACCCAGATAGTTGCGAGTTCAATAACTGGCCACAGCAGAGGTGAGCCAAAAAACTTGGAGAGTTGAGTTAATAAGATGAATTAGCTGAAAACCGAGATATCCAGAAAAGGTATAGCATGTGGAACTAGAACAATCTACCCCTGTGGGCTAAAGGTTTTGGTTCAAAATTCCAATGTATATCACCTGAAGAAGGCCAGTGGATACAATGGCCAAAACATAGTGAATATAACAATAAAAATGAGGATAACAGTTCAAACAATGTAGATTGTATAAATTGTTATTTCTTCGTCTAATACAAATTTGTATTAAAAAAAGAAAAAAAAAAAACTTAACTATACACTGGTTTCTACATGAAATTTATTTTCTAACTGAATTAAATCTTCATGTTAGTAAAAAATACATAAATAAAAATTAAAAAATGCATTTTAATTAAAAGGAGACTCTTCAACTTTTTTTTTCCAATTCATTTCTAATCTACCAGCAAGCTTCCACAACTATGAAGCAGAAAAATAAAGTTATATAGTATATGGGGTTGCTGCTTAGATTTATCGACAATGAATTGAACAATGTCTCAAGTAGCAAGAAGTTGAGAAAAGTTTTTGCAGCTTATTACTGCTAACAAATAATGACTACATGGATTTTGTACAGAAATATTTAATTGGGATTATTTAAAGAATTCCAAATGCTCTGAAGGATAAATTTCAAGTGATCACATTCAATTCTTTGCTAGTATAATTTCTAGCTTCTTCAAATAAGCTGTCAGACAAAATCCATTAAAGACATTATTCGTCCTAATCTCTAAAAATATAAATAAAAAAAATTAAAAAATATCAATGAAGATGTATTTTTTTGTAATGCATTATATATCTTACCGAGGGCACTGTCAATGCTCGAGCTGTCAGTGTTACTGGCTGTGTTCACATCAACCAAGGAGTCTGATTCAGTCAATGGGAGACTCATCTCAAGAAGGATCTGATCCTGACTGGGTCTTATGGGAAAATAAATATTAACTTAGAAGAATACTACTTAAAAATGGAGCAGATTTAATGTTATCAAATCAAGCTTTGCAGTTTTTCATTTTCTTCAATCAATCGATTGATTATTGAATAATTAAGGTAATAATCATAAATTTTTCAGGTGTTGCTGAATCACCAGGAAAGTGTACATTTGTGAATAAAATAACTATATAAAAAATCTATAGCACAAACAAATTATATATGGAAAGGTAGAAAAGAAAATTCATGGAAGAGCTTCTTGGTTGTGTTGAGAATTTTTCAGCACCCACTTGTACATATATTTACAAGGTGTGTAGAATATATGTATAATTAATGGAAGAAATATTGTCTGGAATTTTTCAAATCTTTAACACATTGACTGCCAACCCTGAGATGGCTCACAGTTGGCAGTTTTATTATGACACTAATTTCAAGTTATCTTGTGCTGACTACAAGTTATCTCATGCTTAGCATTTTCTTATACATTTTCATCTGCAGGCGCCAACAATGAGTTTATTCAGTTATACTTTTAGTGAAAAAACAATGCTAAGACTTTAGTTGAAGCTATAAATCAACTCATAAAAATCTTTTATTGCCTAAGTTGGCAATAAAGCTAGCGTTAGAAGTAAAATTTCATAATTGACCTCTGGCAGTCAGCGTGTTAATTTATGAAAAATTACAGTGAAAATGAAATCTGCATGGAGAATATACAATTAAGTTCAGCCATGAATAAATATAGTGAATATTTTCATGAAAAAAAAAAAAAAAAAAAAAAATCTTTTCATGATTATGAATCTTTAACAAAAGTGTAGTTAGTATTAATTTTTTCATATAATTTTCTTCCATGGAGAAAAATGTGCTTAGATAATATAAGTATTAAACTAAAATATCAACAAAATTTACAATTTTATTTCAAAGATGAGGAGGATGCAGGCAAACAGGAAGGAACAACTCAACACCAATGACAACTCAGGACCAGCAAAACATAACTTTTTTTATAACCGAATAAAAGTAATTAAGGATTAAAAGCTTAATTAGAGAATATTTTTCTTCAAATAAGGCATTTGAAAAGGCATTATATTCGGTTAGCAAAAGAAGAAAAAAAAAAAAAATTATGTTTTTCTGGTGTTGAGTTGCCCTTCACCCGTAAGCAAATACATACAAGAGGAATAAATTCATGAGTGAAAAATGATTGCTTCCCTTTAAAAAGAAGTATTCACTTTCTTCTCAAATGGTATAAAGTTTGGTGTTTGAAAGATAATCTGCATAAAAATACAAATACGAACACAGGCACAACTAATGCCACAAAGAGATTTTAGGACATAATTTATGACACACATTGTTTTCTTTATCCACCATCAAGGCAATATATTTAATGTACACATATTCAAAAAACAAAATGGTGGTGTTTAACTTACTTTTTGGTGAGCGGCTGCCGTGTTCTCCAGGAGGAATGTAGGTCGTCCATATTTAAGTCATTTATTTTCTTATGGGCAAAACCCAACCGACAGAACATGGAAACAGCGTTCTAGAAGCACAAAAAAGTGTTTAAAAGAATTTTGGTGTCATTTAATCAACAGTACAACATAATAAACACTTTAAAAAATAAATTAAAAATATTAAGAGAAAATTTCTATGATGCCGTAAATGGCTGATTCTATGAATTTCTTTAATCTCTTTGGTCACTGGATATGATTTTTTTAACTTATTTTATAGTCTGATGATGACATTTCTTTTGCTAATTATTGTTGTTGATGCCTGGTGCTTAATGTCTGAGAGGGTGCTGAAAAGTTCTGCCTGACCCACTTCCCAAATCTTGTTCAAATGACCAAACTAGAAACTTTTCAGCACCCATTTTTTCTTAACTATAGCAAGAAAAATATTTTAATGGATGAAATCTTCACTTTTGAGGATAAAGATCCCCTAAGTGGATAAGTTGGATGTAAAAATGACTGATGATTATTGTTCTGGTGTAAAATTTAAAAAAATATAATTTTACTCTGCCACATTTGTTTTAAGAATTGGACAGAAGTAAAAGAAAATACTATTCAAAACCTGAATTTATTCAGTATCTGGTAGAATACATAAAAAAGGAATTATTTACATATGGATAACTGGCCACTGACAAACTATTTTTAAAGAATCAATTCTGTTTAACCAATTCTTAAAAACAACAAAACAAATGAAATGTAATCAAAAGAGGAAAACTTACCTTAACCAATTGTAAATCTATCTGTAAGATGTTAGCCAGCTAAAAGAGAAAAAGAAAACATTAGAATTTTAAGTTAAATAATGAATATTCATGACTTTATGCTATAAGGATAATTATATGGGCCATATTTACAACAAAACAGGCTCAATGTATTATGATTGCAATCTCATTAATTGTACATTGCTGAACTAGTTAACTTGTAAACAAGCATGGGATCTAAGGTGAACTTTTAGCCCAGCAGAGAATTTACAGGTTGAAGTAACACACAGAAGAGGTTGCGTTGGCAGGATTTATTGCATCAAATTTAATAAAATCCTCATTGACTTTTACATATTTTTCAGACTTGGACTGAATTTACAGTAGAAGGCTATCAAGATTTGTTTGTGTGTGACACACACAATATATATATATATATATATATATATATATATATATATATATATATATATATATATATATACACACACACACTTTCTCATTGGCAGAACAAGAAAAGTATTTTAAAACAATTTATGACGATACCATGTGTGGGTACTTTTTTTTTTTTTTAACTACAGATTTGCACACACTGAAATAAAGTTCTTAAAACATGTTGTAAGATTGTCTTTGGTCAAGTTTTATTAATTAATAAGACTACAATAAGTTATTATCACATTTTCAAGTGAAAAGGCCAAACTTTTTTTTAGTATATCAGCTGTCAATCCTAAAAGGAATTAACAGTAAGATACAGATTTAATAGGAAAAAAAAATTGCTATGATAAAAGAATCAAGAAAACATACCTCAGCAACTGTGGTGTGCTCATCAATAGATACAAATATTTTGTAGAGTAATGTTTCAAAATAGTCACCAAGGACACGATTCATCACAAACCCTTGCAGAGGAGGAACTGAAAGCAAAACACGATAATTTACTTTCACAATTCTAATGCAAAGAAAAATAAAACTTACTTAGAAATCAGAGTTGATTGACATTATGAATATTCTGAGAGTCAAGGTAATGCTGAGGCTAATATTAGTGGTTTCCTTATACAGAAACAGTATTCATTGACCAAATGGACAGAGCTACTGCCAGTTAAAACAATTTTTCAGGAAAATGGGTTTCTCAAGTCCAGGAGTTGTTATTGCTCTTTCAAATTGTGATGGCTTTCCTTCCTAACCTTTTTTTTAATTTAGTATGGAATGTCAAAATCTTGATTATGTCATTTTCTCATCAACATTACACATGCTATCCATTTTAGTTGTTGAAAGTCATCAATTCACATGATTTCTGTTATTTGGTAAAGTTTTTTGTCATTCTGTGGTGTCAGTCCACAAGGTTCAAAGAAGGATAAGTCCTGGGTATGTCAATAAACTACACCCTGCAGCAATCCCTCTGATTGGGAGATTAAAAGTTTTAAGGAGCTTGGAACCACCTCTTAAATGCTGTTGTTCCCAGACCCACCTGTTAGGGTCCCAGCTATGGGCAAATATTGAACCCTCCAAACAAAAAAGTATAAATTACATTTTTATAGTAAAAAGACCAGCAATGCATTTCTATATGAAAAAAAAAAAATTACATATATTGATAGTAAAATTAGCAACAATATATTTTATTTGTAGTTGAAAGCATACAAATGTGTTAAATAAGATTAAATAACACATAACGGTTGATATGCTGCTAAACAAACTACCCACATGAAAGAACTCTTTCAAGACATTAATCCATATAAGATCTTACAATTTCTTCAAGAAATCAAACCGTATTTCAAAATATAACTACAACATAAAACACACACACATATATATCACCGCCTCTATTAATTATGTCCACACAAACATTTTATATCCACAGAAGCTGAGTATCATCAACAACGTATTCAATTGTAAAAGCAGAATAACATTTTTATTACTTCAAGGCTCCCAAGAAAATTAAATTTTGGCATTAAGCAATCCATAATATGCCATTAAACAAACAAATCAATAAAAGAAGAATGGTCCTCTATAAGATCTACATGGTTCATTTGCTCAAAGCTATTTTTAATCATTGATCTGAGAAAGTGATTGTATACATTTTATAGACAATTTAAGCATTTCTGAACAGGTTGGGTGCAATGCTATGAAAGTCTCAATCTGACAAGACTTTAAGAACATAACTAGAGATCTTAGATTAATGTTCTGATTTTGTTCTAACTTGTTGGGTTGGACAAAACAAAACAAAGTGTATTCTAAGGAGATAGGAAAGTGAACATTGGATATGTTCAATCTCTTTATCTTTTATGCTAAATTTGTTATAACCCATCTATACAGCAAGGTAAGTGTTTAGTATTTGTTAATTCCACATGATGAATTTGTATATTAACTTTAGCATTATGCATCATCACTGCTTTCATTCCAAATTATTGTTTGTTTTAGGAGTATTATAAATATAAAAATCAATATATATTTACTTACCCACAATACAGTCATCATCTGCAATTGGGACATCCAAATAAACTAAACCTTTTCTGTACAGACCTAACAAAAAAAAAAAAAAATAGATAAATGGTTGCAAGTTACACACTTGTGATATTTAAAAAAAAAAAAAAAAAAAAAAAAATCTATTCACAGAAATACTAATTACTAATCCAAAATTAAAAATAAAGTTTCTTTGCTGTGTTTTTAAAAATACTAGAATTTTTTGCAACACACTGATGAAGTTATTGCTAACAATTTTTGTCAAAATTTACAAACTTTACATTTCATTCAATTTCATAAGCCAGTCAATAAAATTTGAATAAACTGATTTTTTTTTTAAATACTTTGACAAAACCCCTACTTTATGATTTAATAATTACTCTAATTTTATAAGACTTCAAGGTAAACAATATTTTTTAGGAAATTTTTTTTTTCCTTTTTAACAGTGAAGAATAAATTCTTATGATTTCTTACTCTTGAGTATGCAACATACAACTAGCTATGAGTAAATATTTCTTTCTGGAGTCAAATTTAAACTTTTTGAAGTATTTGGCCTTGTGATTTGTTTATAGTTCTCACAAATTCAGAGCAACCTGGAATCTAGATTCTATATATATATATATATATATATATATAAAAACTTAAAGTAAAAATATGCAAAAACAGTATTGCATTTTTATTAAGTATTTGTTATTTTAATCATTATTTTGATAATAGTGGGAGTATATTGTATGTTAAATAATAAAACTTAATTTTTCTGAAAAATTTATGAATATTTATTGTACTAAGATACACACCCTAATACCAACTGTACTTTGTACCCTCTTACCTCTTTGCACTTCTCCCCAAAATTTGGTTTTGATATGACTATTTTGGTTTTGATTGATTTTGATATGACTATTTTAGAGGATCTGATGGACAAATGGGCTAATGGAAGTCAAAGTTTTTATATATATATATATATATATATATATATATATATATATATATATATATATATATGGATGGATGGATTCAGCACCAAATGACTTATTATCATTTTCACTATTTAAGTAACAAATGAGGCAAATTAACATCTGTGAGACTTGCACAGTCTTTCACCAATTTGGCAGGTTCATTCCCTATGACAAATTTTGATTCCTGAATGTTCCAGTGTGAAAAAAAACTGGGAAAAACCCAATGCATGTTTAACAAAGGAACAAAAGGTGAAATAACACCATGAAAAAAGAAAATATGAATCCTGTTTTCAATATACTGGGTTTTTTGTTCACAGATTCACTAGAGACATTCTGGAGGATAGGTGTCACTTGGAACATCTCCACTACTACTTCTGTCCTTTCTCACAGCAGACAAATGGATCAAAACTCCTTTTCAATCTATTTGCAATTATCTGTACATCTCAAGCACAACTGCTACTCTCAATGACCACTAACTGCTTGTGATTTAACATTCCACCAACAGCTTGTCACCTAAGAAAAGGTGGCTTGTAACTGACTAACACTATGACTGATTTATAAGCCCATGACCAGAATTTCCTACCTTCCGACACAGTGGCACTAGATCCTGAAAGTTTTCATTTATTTACTTCATTTCCTTCCCCAGCTTTTGGGGTTAGCACAATTGTTCTCAACCTTTTTTTGCTCAATGGGCTCTTTTCGCCATATGTTGGAATATCACCCCCACCTTTCCAAGATTGTCCAATTCAAAAGGTGCATTCCAAATAATATGTATATACTAGCAGTAGAACCTGGTGTTGCCCAGGGATGTAACATTAAGAGATAGATCAAGACCGAAAAATAAAATTGACAAAGATTATTGTTTAAAGTTGACGGACACACATGTCTTAATTAGTTTTTTTTTTTTTTTTTTTTACGAATTGGTCAAACCCAAACAAAAACATTGTTTTCAATCGTTATGAGTCTACTGATTGAATAGAATTTTATTATAAACAATTGCCTTGTAAATGGAATTTTTAAAGCATTCTGAATGTAAAAATAAAGAAAAAAGTGTGCAAGACAATAAGAAACACTACCTGCAAAAAAAAAAAAAAAAAAAAAAATATTTTGTTGAAATCGGTTGAAAAATGTAGGAAATCCGATCCCATATATAAACGAACACACACACATACAAACAACCTGGGTTTTATAAGTATAACTCGATATGAGTTGTCCCCCCTTTCATTCTGGTGACAGAATCGTGTTTTCAAATTGATTTCGTGCAAAAACACTGCAAGGTAATTTTACGCAGTCCTGTGAAGTTTTGTTGAAATCGGTTGAAAAATGTAGGAAATCCGATCCAATATATAAACGTACAGACACACACACACACACACAATCTGCATTTTATAATAAGTAAGATTACTGAAAATCTTCATTCTTTTCGATATTAGTATATATACATGGATTATTATTTTAATTTTTTTTTTTTTTTTTTTTACAGAGGAATTTTACAAATTTAATAGCAAAAAAAAATGTTAGATTTTTAAACTCGATTACATGTACAGTGATTTGTTTTAATTCATAAATAAGTAAATAAACTGAAGCGTATTTCAATAAACAAAAAGTTCAATAGAATGCCAGGATATTGTAATTTAATAAACAAGATGTTCAATAAAAGGTTAGGGTATTTAAATCGACTTCCTTTAGATGAAGATTACATTCAATGAGAAACTTGTGATAGAACACCAAATGAGAACTTGTCATAGAACACCAAATAGATGTGCAGGTGGTGTAACGATTAGCAGCTCGAAACAAAAAATTGGCAAGTCAAGTTCAAATTCTAGTTGAGTTTATTACATTCACTTTTGCACAAATGTCCTTGGAAAAGGCATAAATCCATCTCTAACTATAGGCTAAATAATAGGGCAGACTGGGCCATTCAGTTTTGGTTGGTGATCAGTCTAAGAGAAGGACAAAACTAGTTAGGTGTGGGACTAGTAAGTCCATCTTGTTAAAACTTACTTGCTATGGAAATTGCAACAGCAAGCATTTTGATGCTGTGGCACCTTACTCTGCTTGAAATGTATAAGACTTGAGCAAGTGATAAAATAAAAAACACTTTAGGCCCAGATAAAATAACTTAGAATCCACTTGACTATGTGGGTGTTCTACGTCAATTGTATGATGATCCATTGTGTTGTACATTCACCTTCTGGTCTTTATTTTGTCTTTCAAATTCCTGTGGCTTATACAGTCTTTACAGGAAATCTCCATATTTCCATTCTTGGCCGACACATACTTGGGTTAATTTCTACATATTGGCACTGAAAATCTTAATACCATTTATCTTGTTTGTTTTACCAAATAGACAGCCATTAGTCAAAGTGAGCAATGGCAAACCACATTTTAACCAATCAATATAACATTCTGCCACATGTAAAAATTAATGCTGACAAAATAGGTTTACAATACAATAGGACAAATCTGTCTCATATTTTAAAAGAAAACACTTAGAAATAAAAGTTACACGCTTCATTAATATGAAAGCACCTATTTAAGTAGCAAATAAATTTTACTTACTATGCAAGACTTTGTAATCCATATCACCAGCTGGCTGGGGGCCATAGTCAATCACTTTATCAATTGCCTCTTTTTCTGAAATGTGACACATCTGTGGATAAGAAAAATATATAAAATAACGCATTGTTTCTCTGAATTAAATCCAGTTTTGTTTTATGCTAAAGACACAGTTTTCATTGGTAGCTATTTTTCTTTTATATGCCTAGTAGTATCGAATAAAGAGGCCGAATAAGAGACTTGTCCAGATTTTAATAATCAAAACAGCTTATTGATTTACCCCCAAAATCTACCCAAAACATTGTTTTCTTAGACATAAGATATATTTTAAAAAGTGATAAATTTAGATATTGATTTTAGATTTTTAAACAACAGGAAACTTAAAAAATTCTTCATTTTCCAACTTAAATAAAAGTTGTAATTTTTTTTTTTTTTTTTTTTTTTAAAGAATTATAGTTTTAATATGTATTACTGTCTGTTGTAGAAACCTTTAATATGCTGAAGATATTTTTGAAAAACACCTGAAATGTCTCGCAATGAATTATCAGATTTCCACGAGACAGCCTACGATACATTAATTACAAAACACATACTATATACGCAGCTAATGAAAGGATCAGAGTTCACAACTACTATGATCCCAACCAGTGGTGTAGCTAGGGGGGGGCGAGGGGGGGGACCGCCCCGGGTGACGTTTACTCTAGCTACGCCACTGATCCCAACTGCGGTTGGTACATGCAGAAAGGCAGAAAGCAGCAACATCTTAAAAGTGACTTACAAGAACCGATAATTAGCTAGTACATAATCTGGATAATATTTTTTAATTTTCTTTAAAGAAAATAATCATTTTCTTAATGTTGAATCAACAGCAAAAAAAGAAAAGAATTATAAATAAAAAAGAATTAAAAAAAATAAAAAAAGATTAAACAAATAAAAAAATTAACAAAACAAACAAACAAAAAAAAAAAAAGGCACATTTAACCTTTATATCATCTTCAGTAATATAGCCAATATTGACAATCCACCAGTGGTCTGCTGATACGGAATCCACCGGTTGCATGGGAAGTAGTTCCCTCACAGGTTTTCTACGGAAAAATTTCTGAAAGATAAAGAAAAATGAACAAATAATTTAAAAGTTTAATTAACCAGGTAAAATAGTTCCACTGGTTGCCGAGGTAACAAATAATTAAAACTAAAATGATGACAGTTACAATATTCACTAACAAATAATTATCATGAACTTTATTTCTAAACAAAGTTAAATATTTGAATAATTATACCTTAAAAGTTTATCAGGAAGAAGTTTACCTACTATTATTTTAAGTAACTAAAAAAAATAAATAAAATAAAATTATATATATAAAAAAATAAAAATTGTTTACTTTCATATGTTCAACTGTGATTTTTAAAATTCAGTCTAACAAATTCTTCCATCATGTTTGATAAATACTTTCTCTTAAACAAGTAATTAAAAATAAACTAAATAAATGTTGAGAAAGGCTAAATTCAATTTTAAAACTTATTAAGTCCATTATTATACATTTTTGACTAGTGTTTATTGTCATCTTAACTTTTTAGCTGCTTGGAAAAAGCAAATAATAAAAAAAAAAATAATAATGATTAGCAAATCATCAGCTAATAAAAAAAATGTTAATAAAGCACATTTTTAATAACAATGTTTGCATAAATGTAGATGTACAGATAGCATAATGGTGATTTTTTTTTCTTTTACTGTTCACCCAATACAAGTCCCAAGAGCCATTCAAGGTAGATGGTTACATAATGAGATCCTAAGAGAGGGAAAAGAGGAAGTAAGAAAACATTATAAGGATGAGTAGGATAGATATCAATTTAAAAAAAAAAGACAAGACAAAAGTTGTCAGGGATGCATTCTCTCAGGAGTTTGTTCTACAAAGAAACATTTCTAGGGAAGAGACTGTCTGAGTAGAACTTGCCATTTATCAAAAGGAACACAAAGAGAATAGGGATGATTTGCAACTTGAACATCTGAATCTGTGAAGATCTGAGTTGGTGGAACTAAGGAATGTAACTCATCTGAACATCTGCCATAATAATAGCAATATCGTAATGAAAGGCTGGCAACATTTCATCCATGGGATAAAGGTTGCAGAGTGGAGAATAATGCATCAATCATGAGGCCGTGTAAGTGCTTTTGAAGTCTTACAGCTGGGCAGTGAGGTTTGGGTAGCACTAACCCAAATATGGCAGCAATACTCCATAATAAAAATAGCAAGGGTTTCTGTAGGATGCAGTCAGGTGCTCATAATTAAAAGTGTTCTTAAAAAGATTATAAATCTTACATAAAATTTAAAATTATATATTTGAATATATGGCAAACAAGCCTATTTTAATAACCAACACAAGAGGATATATTATTGCTTGTAGTTACATAAATTACTTCAATGTCAAAAATTGAATGTATTTTATGTGCAAAAATTATCTTTATGATTAAGTATGAATCTTTAGTCTTTCATTAATTGTTAAATACCTAAAAGTGGAAATAAATTGTAAAATTTGTTTTGCATTTCTTTCCTTTTGATTGTATACCTTACATAAATAATTTCTCTATGAAAATCAGCAATACTAAACATGGACTATAAGATTTCAAAAACAAATTTTTGAATTTTTAATGATTCAGTATGAAAAAAGAGGTTAGAAAATTGTTAGAAATGAAGAGTGTTGAACTGTCACATCTAATCTCCTATACAGCAGTGAATGCTGGAAAACTGCCCCAAAGATGAAGTGACTCAAAGAGAGAGATGTGGTTCTAGAAATGTATGCTGAGAATACCATGGATTGAACGTGTCAGTAAAAGAGAAGTCTTAACGAAAATAGGGTGTGGAGGGACATTTGCACTTACAATCAAGAGACCACTGACGTTCTTGGGACACATGAAGAAAGAGGCCTTAGAGAATTTAACGGTCACAAGATATACTGGGAGGTAGAGAGAAAGAGTGAGTATCCTACTTAAAAAGATTGTATGAATGGATGGCAGAACAGGGACAAAGAGGGATTGTAACAAGAGTTGCTTGAGTTACAAGGGACTGGAAGTTGTGGAGAGACAAAAATCATCTGCATCCCTAATGGACAGTGCACATAAAAGAAAAAAAAGACAATTCCACAGAAAGAAAAATGGAAGTGATATTTCAGCACTTACTTTGCTGGATCTGTTCTGGTTCATTAAGTCTATATACTGATTCCTGCCAATTCCAAGCAGACGTAAACCTAAATTAAAAGCAAATACAAAAAATTATTTTTCCTAGCAGTAATAAAAAATCAGTTTTAAATTTAAATATTAGTTCTTTTGTGCTACATGTAAATTATAGAAATTTGGAAAAAAAAAAAAAAAAAATATGTTCGTCTAAAAACACAAACTTGAAAATGTTGTCTCAGAGTCAAAGAGCATAAGATAAAACACATTTTATTTAAGCAAGAATTGGCAACAATTTATTTTCTTAAAGTAAAGCACACACAGACATACATTACTATATATAAAAAACAGAGCAATCTAAAATTAAGGTCAAATTAATTAGAGCAATTATAGTATAGTATTAATAAAGATGAAAGTAAACTTGCCAGCAAGTTGCTAGAATTCATATTAGTACTATGAATATCTCAATAGTAACAGAATAGAGCTACTTTTATTAGGATAGACTATAAAGAAATGTTTCATTTAGTACATTCTCAAGTGAAGGATTTTTGTAACACATTTACAGTTAACAAACCAAAAAAGAATCCTAAACTATTGAGGCATGTCTTTGCTGCTTTTCTATTGTGATTCATTTTTTTTTAAATATCAATGTGACTGAAGGTAAAGTACTAATAATCATTTCTAAACCTATTTTCATAGTCAATGTCAATTAAATATCTATATATAGGCCAAATTAAATCTTCAGTTTCTATTTTGTATTAAAATAAGTTTAGAGACTATTATTCTAAAGTTGTAAATGTCTAAAATATAAACATAAGCTAACAAATGTTGAGTGTGCAATTGGAATCATTCAATTTAATAAAATTAACAAATTTACATTTTCTAAACTTGAAAAAAAAAAAAAAAAAAAAAAAAAAAAAAAAGATGATATACCAATACATGTCATACACTCATGGAGAGCAGCTTGAAACAAGAAAAATCCTGATCCTGACAAATGTCCAAAGATTGCATTCAAGCATGAAACAGTCGCCACTTGGGGTTGACCTCAGTGTCCACTTTATATATACAGGGGGTATCAGAAATAGCTTTACAAACTTTGGGGATGGTTTCCTCACACCAAACTAGGACAAAAGTCCTCTCTCTCTCTCTCTCTCTCTCATATATATATATATATATATATATATATATATATATATATATATATATATATATATATATATATATATATATACACACACACAGAGAGGGTGTATCAAAAATACTTCGGGGGCAGGTTTCTAACATCAAAACAAGGTAAAATGGCCATATAAACATAGGTCCAAAAGAACATTGTTGTACCTCAACATATCAACTCATAACAAATGTTCAAAATGCCCTACACACACATGCACCCATCTGATCATTGACTGGCAGACCCTTTAAAATACTTCCACACGGTGTTGAATGGTTTCGCAGGCCCCCATGACATGATGAAGCAGCTCTGCATTATTAGTTTCTGCTGCATAAACCAATTGTTTTATGTAGCCCCCACAGATATAAATCCAAAGGATTGGGGGTCGAGCCAATGTGCAAGCCATGGGACCAGTCCTTCCCAACCTAGCCATCTTTCACCGTAAATGTCAGCCAGTGGATCACAACCAATGTGACTAAAATGTGCTAGAGCCCCATCATGTATGAACCACATACATCTTCATATTAGCAGGTTTGGAAGTTTCAAAACAAAGTCTCTGGAGATAGCTCCTGTATGATGTGCTGGGAGAACATATGGACCTACCAGACAGTCACCTACAATTCCAACCCACACATTAATCATAAATTGATGCTGGTGTCTAGCCTATATTGTACCATGGGGATTCCGATCTGCCCACAAATGTTGGTTGTGTAAATTTGCTATTCCATCTCTTTCAAATGTTGCCTCATCCGTAAACAAGACTGAAGAGACAAACAACAGATGGGCATTTTGTGCAATAAACCATCGGCAAAAGATCTCCTGTAGTAAGTGATCAGAGGGTGAAAGACTCTGCATGCGTTGCACATGATACAGATACAAGAGCTGCTCTTAAAGTAATCCCCATGCTGTATTATGTGATGTACGACATTCTAGGGCCACTTGATGTGTGCTGATACCTGGATTGTCTCTGACAGCTTGTAGAATGTGTTCTTTGTGGCCAGGTGTATGAGTGAATATCAGTCTTCTTCAATCCATAGTTTGTGGTGCCATGGATTCTGTTTCAGCAATGCAACAATAAAGAGCAGCAAAGGTTAGCTGCCTTCAGTCTGGAAACACAATCTGATACAGCCGTGCAGCCTCACATCCATTGCCATTTGCTTGCCCATATGTAAAAATTCTATGTACTGGCTCACAATATGAATATCCTGCTATTGTTAAACAACACTTCACAGTTAACTTACTACTACACACATTAAATAATGAAAAAAGACTAGCCATAAACATACATGAATGACAAATGTAACCTAGTCTACATAGCAACACAGCACCATCTATAAACTTTCTTTAAACTTAACTCAAAAGAGAAGTATTTGCAGACATATGTCTGTATGGACTTAGGTCCTTGTTTGGTGTGAGGAACCTGTCCCCAAAGAATGTAAAAATATTTTTGATACACCCTCTATATATAATTGATGGATTTTATTTAAACATCATTTTTAGTGGATACCCGTATTTTAGTGGATATCATTTTTCATCTACAGGTCTGCACATTTGAGAAAATTGATTAAAGAAAATGTGCTATCTGGCCAGATTTGAACCTGCGGCCTTCCTTGCAGGAGAAACTCATGTTTGATCTGACCACTCAGCTACAAAGAGCTTTTCAATCAAGAAAAATTCTATTTGCCTTTAAAGCATATTTTATTCATTCAGCTTTTCTCAAAAGTCATAAACACTAAGTTTTGTATCTGAAATATAAACAAAGCAATTTCTAAAGAATTAAGTAAAATTATTTTATTTTAATCAGACATTTTTTTTTTTTTTTTTTTTACATTAAACGTTATTTCAAGAGACATCCATATTTGACTGTTTTATTTCATCTATCAGCCTGCACATACAGTGGGGGGAAATAAATATTCGTACACATGAAAAATTGTATTTTTATAAATGTAAAAGCCTTAACTAAAACAAATTTTGATACATTTTATGTGTAAAGATACATTAAAAAATAGTAATAAACTTAATTCTTATTCTAACAGAAATTAATGCATTTTTAACTGATGAAAAAAGTATTCGTACAAAACAAAAAAAGCATATTAACTTAATTTAATACTTTGTGGAATATCCTTTATTGAGTTCAACAGCTACCAGTCTATTCCTATACGTCTCAACTAATGATTTGCACACATTGAGTGATATTTTGTCCCATTCTTCTTGGCATATTGTCTTCAAATTCTTGATATTTGTTGGTGCTCTTTTCCCAATTTGAATTTTCAAATATCACCATAAATTCTCGATTGGGTTCAAGTCTGGGGACTGACTTGGCCATTGCAAGACAGCGACGTACTTTCAGCTAACCATTCCCTTGTAGATCTAGCAGTATGCTTAGGATCATTATCCAGTTGGAAAACCCAATCAGGAGGTAGCCGAAGTCTCTCAACAGAATGCATTAAATTATCTTGCAGGATTTTCTGGTAGCTTTCAGCATTCATCTTGCCATCTATTATTGATATTCTGCCAACACCTTTTGCAGAAAAAACAGCCCCAGATCATGATACTGCCACCACCAAACTTTACAGTTGGCAACATTTTCTTTGGTAAGTAGGCTTCACCGTCCTTCCTCCACACATGATTTCGATAATTATGATCAAACAACTATTTTAGTTTCATCTGTCCATAGTACTTTTCCCAAAATGAATATTCTTTATCCTTATGCTCTCTAACGAATTTTAGCCTAGTATCTTTGTGTCGTTTCAAGAGTAATGGAGTCTTCCTTGGGATGCATGATTTCAGACTGTTTTTGTGTAGTTCATTACTTACTGTACACTTGGTTACTTTAATCCTTAATACATGCAGATGTTTCTGCAGCTCTTCTTGGGTAACCTGTGGATTTTGTTGGATCTGGCGTCCTAATATCCTTGCTGATCTTAGAGAAATCTTCCTCGGAGCACCTGTTCATCTTTGGTTTTCGACGCTGTTACGAGTTTTAAATCTTGCAATGAATGAAGCAATTGTAGTAAAAGGAATATTCAAGTTGTTAGAAATTGTTCTGTAACTGTTCCCATCTTTCCAAAGAGACAAAATGTGTTGTTTTTTGTGAAATAATCAATTCTTTTTTACCTTTAGGCATTATTAGAACCTTCTCTCAGAAGACTAGAAATTGCAGAATGCTCTGATAATGGCTAATAGCGTTAACAATAATAACTGATAACATTACTGGAACATTCTAGAATATACTTTTTTCATAATAAATTGATTATTTTATTCTAATAATTGATTTGTACGAATACTTTTTTCACCAGTTAGAATTAAAAAAATGCATTAATTTTTGTTAGAATAAGAATTAATTAAGTTTATTATTATTTTTTAATAGTATGTGTCTTTATACATAAAATGTGCTGAGATTTCTTTTATTTAAGGCTTTTACATTTATAAAAATACAATTTTTCAAGTGTACAAATATTTATTTACCCCCACTGTATATAAATGTTTTGTTATTAGTTGAGCATGTAAAATACAAATAAAGATGCAATGCAGAATACTCCTTCCCGACAGTTGAAATACTGCGGGCCTCTCACTTCTATTGCTATTCCCATGGCATGAGTTCTGGTGAACTACATTCCCAAGTCTCACCATACCACATACACAAGTATGAATCATCCTGTTCCCTTTGTACTCCAATAGTAAGAAGGAAGTTCCATTTGGTCAGCTTCTTCCCATGAACTGCTTTGTGGAACAGACTCCTGACAGGATATTTTCCCAATGACTACAATCTTGACCTCTTCAATTATCTTTCCTGCATATCTCCATGAACTCCAATTATTGCCCTTTCTTACACTCATACAACACTATACAGTAATCCTCTGCCTTGGGTGGCTCTTACGCCTTATGCTGAATTAACATTTTTACGTGTGTGTGTGTGTGTCTCGGTTTTCAGTCCCAGCTTGAAGCGATCAGATGTCTAGTCACACTGATGAGCTGTGATACAACAAAGCAGTGTTTGTGGATGATGATATTAAAAGAAATTAATTCAGTTGAGCACTGTGGGGAGAAAGTGCGAATTTGTAAACAGTGACTATTACTGCTAATAATGCAAGACTGTCCCAATCAAGTCAATGGTGTGTTTATAAAAAGATAAATATGCAAAGATTTGCCTATCTGTCAGGTGCCAATAGACTAGGGGTTACAATCTCTGATTGATGCTGAATCGGTCCAGTGTCGGTCCCAGCTTGAAGCGATCAGATGTCTAGCCACATTAATGAGCTGTGATACCGCAAAACAGTATCTGTAGATGACGAGATTACATATATACACACACAGACACACACAAACAAAAATGTAATATAGTTTAAATACTGGCCAATTTTAATTTTTTTTCTATGGTAATGGTTTTTGGTATTAAAATATTTAGTTAACATGGATACAAGAAGGCTTTTAAAAATGCATAAAGATGATGAACAGAAATACTTACAATCTGCTGCAGTGAAATTTGGCAGTGAATCATAGCTTTTCTCTTGTGTCATGATTGAGGACATGATGTCAATATAGTAGGAGAAGGGGGTGACCCGTAAGCCGCGCACCACCACATCAGATAAGTGATATGGGTAGAGCATGAGGTGCTCACGGCTGTAGTGCAGGAGCTCTTCATAATAGCGTCGCTCATCTTTGCGAAAGGTCTTTACTATAAAATACAATATGAACACATAATAAAATTAAATAAAGTATAAGTTTATAAAGTATACAGCTTATATAACTGAAAGATTTACAATCACAATATTGCTTTCCATCAAAGAATTATATGTAAAGTTTTAAAAAAATAAAAAATAAAAACAAAAATTCTGTAAATAAACAAAAATAAATAAAAATCACAAAATTTTAATGAACAAGGAATGGGGGGAGGAATTAGCTTTTTTTAAATTTTGAAAATCAGAGATAAAATTTGATCTACTATAAAAAGAACAGACATACCTTAAAGCCAATAAAAAGTCCAGAGAAGAAAAATGTTGTGTTACAAAAATAAATGAACTGGTTTTCCCTTTATAAGATTTTCTTGTTCTTTTCAACTTCACCTGTAACTTAGGCTGCTAAAAATGGACGATTTGTTCACAAAGGTTAGAGATTATCAATCTAGAAAGCTATTTTAGCATATGAAATATTTGATAACCTTTCCCCATAGATTCATGATACCATTTAAAATAGCAACATCACATCACAGCCATCTTCAGATACTGGCAACCCTATTATATTTTAATATCATTAAAAAGGTCAAAGGTGACTATTTCCAAATATTAAATTTATCTCAAAATAATACAAATAAAGTGACTAAACTCCTCACATTGGTTATTTTTACATTTTATATGTAAAGTTTTAAATAAAGCATACAGCTTATAAAAAACTGAAAAATTCACAATGACAATATTGATTTCTATTGAAAAATTGTTTTTAATTAGCCTATTATTATTATAACCCAAGAGGTAATGTTATCAAGAACAGGACAGACTTTTCTCCGAGGTCAACTTATTCCTTCATCCAGTAAAAGAAAAAAAAAAAAAATCTGAATTAATAGATTCTGGTTTAAACTGCTAAACTACTTTTTTTTTTTAAACCTGGTAAAGATATTTAGACATACCAATGATATAATGATAGACAAATGCAGCATTTTCAAATTCTCAGTATGGTATAGATATGCGCAGGTAGTATAACTGTTAGTGTTGCAAAAAGTGGAATTTGCAAGCCATGTTCAAGTCTAGTCTGTTGCATTTACTTTTGTGCTATTGCTCTTAGGCAAGGCAAGAATCCATTTCTTCTCAGCTATTGGTTAAATAGTAGGGTAAACTGAGCTCTCTCGCTTAGGGTGGTAGCCAGTCCAGAAAGACAACTTAAATTTCAAAATGAAACCACTCCACTATCTTCCCCAAAATGCCATGGGAATTCACAGATAATAATGAAAATGAATTTGTGGAGAGCCATGATGCCTACTTCCCAAAGGAAAATAGAATTAGGAGAAAAAAAATGCTATCAGTCTTTAGAGACTGTACAAGAAATGATTTTATGAGAATTGGTCCTATATCAATTATATTGACAAGTGTAAAATCCTTCCCGGCCACCTTAACCTATGTCAAAATGTATTATATTTTGCCATTTCAAAATTTAACTGGAAACATTTAAACAACAAATGCCAAATCTTCAGGAGGTACACTGAAAAATTATTCTAACATGTTGAAAACTTAATATCAATATTTTTGGATCCCAAGCTCAAAGATACAAGACTTTGCTTTAAAAATGGTAAAATTATAAATGCAGTGGCAAAAATGTATTCTTTTCAATTATAAATCCATTATAAACATGTCTATCAAAAATAAACAACAAAATCATACTTTCTTGTCCATTAAGTTTTATTTCAACACTTAATTCATTTAAAATAAAAGTGGGGCAAAATTACAACACTCAAATTATTAAAGCCACTAAGAAACAAGCCTACAGGAGTGGGTCATTGTTTACATCCGGTTTCTCAAGTAGCTTTGAAGTATATAATAAAAAAAAAAAAAAAAAAAAGCAATCAAGTACATATGTATCTAGCATCAGCTATGTATAGAAGATGAAATATCTGCTTATGTGACAAGAAAATAATACTTTAGAACTTCTAAAACTGAATTTATATGCCTCAACCAGCAAGGCTCAATAAAATCTGTTGAATCTTACTTATTATAAAACGCAGATTGTGTGTGTGTGTGTGTGTGTGTGTGTGTCTGTAACGTTTATATATTGGATTGGATTTCCTACATTTTTCAATCGATTTCAACAAAACTTCACAAGACTGCATAAAATTACCTTGCGGTGGTTCTAACAGCACCAAAAATGGGGAAAATACAATTGTTTTTGCACAAAATCAATTTGAAAACACGATTAAGAGACATTGTGAGAATGAAAGGGGGACAACTCACATCGGGTTAAAAACCCAGGTTGTTTGTGCGTGTGTATTCCTTTATATATGGGATCGGATTTCCTACATTTTTCAGCCGATAAAACAAAAATTCACTTTTTTTTTTTTTTTTTTGGGTAGTGTTTTTATTCTCTTGCACACTTTTTTTTCTTTATTTTTAATATTCAGAATGCTTTAAAAATTCCATTTACAAGACAATTGTTTATAATAAAATTCTATTCAATCGGGAGACTCATAATGATTGAAAACAACGTTATTGTTTGAGTTTGGGTTTGACCAATTCATAAAAAAAAAAAATAATTAAGACATGCGTGTCCGTCAATCTTAAACAATAATCTAACGATCTCTACTGATTGTACAAATCCAAACATCGGATAATTCTTTATCTTTAGGAAAGATAATGAAATCTAAACATACACAAGTCCTCCTAACTAAAAATAATAACCGGAAACTACTTTAAATACAATTTTTCCAATTTTTTACTGTATTCAATAAGTAAAAATCATAAATTGTAAAAGATTATTATTACAGAAAGGCTACTAAATGAATAAGATTTGTTAGATCATAATTAATAAACCCAAGTAAAGTTAATATTTTTTGTATTAGAAACAACAAGTTGAAAATATATTCAAATCAGAATTCTAATTATGAATCACCACAAGCAAAATATGCAATTTTTTTACTGTATTCAATAAGTAAAAATCATAAATTGTAAAACTAAAAGATTACAAAAAGGCTACCTACATTTTTCAACCGATTTCAACAAAACTTCACTTTTTTTTTTTGGCATGTAGTGTTTCTTATTGTCTTGCACACTTTTTTCTTTATTTTTACATTCAGAATGCTTTAAAAATTCCATTTACAAGACAATTGTTTATAATAAAATTCTATTCAATCGGTAGAGACTGAAAACAATGTTTTTTGTTTGAGTTTGACCAATTAAAAAAAAAAAAAAAAAAAAAAAAAACTAATTAAGACATGCGTGTCCGTCAACCTTAAACAATAATCTTTGTCAATTTTATTTTTCAGTCTTTATGATGGTGGATACTTATGTTATAGTCTTACTGCTAGTCTTTTCTATACCCAAGAAGTAAAATAAATTCTACTGAAAAAAGATATGAAAATTTGCACAGCTAAAGCCCGAGATAACTTGAATAAAATGGATGTAATCTGGAAATCTGGTCGACCAGACAATCTCAAACAGAAAATTCTTTCAAGTCATTGTAGAGGTGATTTTAATGTATGGTGCCACTACTTGAACATTAACTAAAACCCCAGTACCTAAGCTTGATACTGAAAGCTACACTTAACATCTCTTGGAGACAATGTCCAACTATATCACAGCTCTATGCGTCCCACATACAATCAAGGGGGGTGCAGTCTGGGACATTAGTTGGCCAGATGAAAGGGGTGATGTGGTCGCAGAAATTGTCTGACAGCCATGACTGGGTTCTCCTGCTTGTGTGGCATGGTGCAGAGTCCTGTTACCAGACACAGGTCTTCCAGCAGCCATCCTCTTGACCCAGACCAGCACTACCTCCTCAAGCCACTTGATGTAAGCTTCCATGCCGAGTCTCTCACCAACAATTTGGGAGTTCTTTCCTTATCAGAACAATCAGAGTGAGTTTTCCAAGCTGCTGTACCTTCATAATCACCAGTAGACTCACCCAGCCCTTTCCAAATCCAAGTCCTCAGATTGACACAAAAACACTTTTTCATATTTGAACTTCCAGCATGAATGCCAAGCAATACAGCATGCTTTTTCCAAATTTCTGGCAGTGTGAATTGTGTCATGATGCTCTTTTTCCTCCCAGATGATGCCCAACTGACCCCACTATACTGTGCAGTTGACAAAATCAAAAACGACATGCATGTGCAAAAGTAATATAAAATGACGACAATTTAACCAATGCACTTTGCATATGTGATTAATGTGTGTGTATATAACACCTGTGAAAACATAAGCATGTTCAAGTATATGTATAATTATAGATATATAACTAAGAATAACACTTCTTAATGAATGATTCATAAATTCAAATAAAAGTCTATGAAACTAAGCATCCTTGAACTAAACAGAGGCAAGAAGTATTTATATAAACATGATATGTAGACACATCAATATCTTAATGATGCTTTTATTTTACACAAATATTTTCAACATAATCTCCTTCATTGTCATTGCACTTAATTCAGTAATAAGCATTAATCACAAATCAGATAATAAAACTTTCAGACCAAGATTCAGTCTATGGACTTATCAATCCACCCTTTTATATAGATGTTAGACACTAAATGTTCATTATAGAATTTCAAAAGAAATAAAAATTTAGAATTTATACTTTATCTGCTTTCTTCTTTTACTTTCTTCTTTGTGTGCAAATTTTTTTATTTATTTTTTTTTTTTTTTACAAGGTCAAATTTTCAGCCTCTCAACTTTCCATTATACCTGTGGTTAAAATGCCTACCTACCAGATGAAAAGAGCATGTTCACTTGAACCAATCATTTCCTAAGTGACATTCCACATGCAAATATACTAATAAAATAGAATGGAATAAGCACACCATAGACAATACATAACAACCAAGTTGTTCAACACCAAAAAGCCCTATTTTTTTCCTTGTTGGAACACATTAAAATAAAAATCAAACATTAGAATTCAAAATTTT